GAGATGAGGCAGGATAAAGAGGGATAATCCCCCTCGATCCCAAATCATTGAGGCCAATTTCTAGCCATAGAATAATGGCGCGGCGAGTCGTTTAATCTTCATCCTTAAAGTTTCCTGTCCTTATCACTCTTGACTCTTGACACTTGACTCAACCTTGTGACTAACCTATTATTATATATTTTGTGTGGCTAACTTTGCTGCTTACAGAGGTCACGTTTTTTTCGTGGTGCATGAATTTTCACAATTTGAAAATTAAAAACGTGATATTAGATAGTTATGTACAATATTAAAGGACCTAGTAAAATCGTTACAAAAACTACTACACGAAGAGGTAAGTAAATAAAACTTAAAGATATACGGTAATAAAATATTTTTGTAGGTATTTCACAAACCATTGATAATTATAGAGATCATAATAAAAACAAATTAATAGAAAATGATGATTATGATTCGGCAAAGTAAGTTCAGGTTAACCGTTTTTAAATTATTATTATGGGGGTATTATCAAATATATATATAAAATATTGGTTTTATCTTTTAGTGTACCAAAGCCCGTTTTTCACAAAAAATCATCGCCAAACAGCCAGAGACAAGAAAATATTTCCCCTCAACATGAAGAGATTATAAAGTTCATTCATGAATGTAAGTAATGTTTGCCAGTAATTATTTTTTTTTCAACGACATAACCTTAACAGTCTGAAATTTAGTCGGTACAAACACTATGAAATAGTCTCTTAAAAAAATTGAAATTACTTGAGACATAGTGATACTTAATGACAGCTTATCTTAGTTTTCTTTTTATATGAAGTATTTTATTGTTTTTAGTTTGGTTTTACTGCATATAAAATGGAGAATATAATTACTGAATGCAAATTCATTTTAATTACTATATCATAATTTTTATCACAATTACTTATCTTATAGCTGTTTTACATTGACAATTTATTTATGAATAAATTGACGAAGTTCTTCATGAATTAATTCACGAATTTATTGGTAAACAGTGTGGTTTTACACTGCTACAGACTTTGTCAAGTTTTTTTAATTTATAAATCAGTTCTACCAATGAATAAAAGAAGCAAATAAATTTCAAAAATGTCACCTTTCCACTCATAATTGTAGTGATACAACAGCGGTACCGTTCTGACACATATTACATAAATATTAGTTTTTGTAAATAACAAATCAGTAAAAACAATGCAAAACTAGTTCGACGCCACACAATTATTTACATATTCCAATAACATAACCTCATTACTGATCTGAGGCTGGAAATCTGTTGGGTTGGTAATTCTGAACTTCACGAAGAAATTGACGAAAATTAGAACATGCTCTAATTCATCAAGAACTTGATGAATAAATTCATGAAGTTATTTGACAGCAGATTCGGTGTATTACACTTGTCCAATTTCTTGATGAAGCGACTTCATGAATTAATTGATCAATAAATTGTCAATGTAAAACAGCTATTATGTAGTTATAATTTTAATGTAGAATGTATTCATGCGTTAGTTGTAATCATATTTAATAAGCTAATCTGTGGCTTACAATCAAATGTTTTAAATGAAAAATAGTTTAAAAAAATACAGATGGTATTAATGATTTTTATTAATGCGTTAGATATATGGGAAGAGTGTTCCTGTAATTGTTCACATTCCCAACATTTTCCTGGGGCAATGCAATGAAACAAGGCAATTTTTTTATCTAAACTATTATATATTTTATATTAGAAGTTAATATATCAAATAAGGTCTCATATCTGAATGTTTTGATATTTTATAAAAAATTTTTTTTTAATCTAAAAGTGAAAAACCGAAAGATAATCCCTTAAAATATAATATATGTCTTTGTTGTAGCATGGAATTCAGTTTGTTTAGAATTAGATCAGGAAAATGGTGACTCCGATGGGAGTACAAGTCCCCAAAGTAAGTGGTCTTCATAGTCATATTATTTTCATATGATTCAAGTTTTTTTGCAGGTGAACACTCGGTGTGTTATTACGAAGATGAACCTTGTGTGTCTTTACAAGACTTTAAACCATTTGATTTAGAATCATGGTGGGGTAAACGTCTTTATGCATACATTACTAGTTCAGTGAATACAAAAAATTAGATTATATTTTTGTTTTTTATTGTCAAATTTTTCAATTTTCACTTTTTAACTATGAAAACTTTTTAAAATATTTTTATGATTGTAAATTACTTGACAAAATTACGTGTACATCGGACATATGCTACTTATCTTTTAATATTTTTGAAAAAAAATTTTACGGGAAGAAGTATTTCGAATAGGTATACCTACTTAATTTCTAATAATAAATTTTATATTGAAAAACATTTTAGTATTTTAAACCAAGGAAATGTCGGTGATTATCATTTTTATGACAGCTAATTGTAAACATAATTTATTTCAAAGTGCCTCGATAAAATGTTTGGGAGAAAAAAATTATACACATTTTGTTTATTTAAAAAATCCATATTAACATTTGTTCTTAGATTGTTGGAATAAATTGAAGAAATAATAAAGGCAATAACAGAAAATTGTAGTTGTATATGGTTGTCTCTGAGGCAGTAAACTTGATTAAATTTAAATCTCACACTTATGCATTATTCATATCCATTGTATAGAAATATTCAGTGTAATAACGTCCGTAGAATATTCTAAATTCTCAAAAAAACTCCAATAGGCAATTCATAAGTAGGTTAATAAGCCTGTAGCCATAAAGTATTCTCCAGCGATATCCAATTAAATCCAGTAGTTGGACATAGAAGAGTGTTGAAGTGAAAATAACTTCAGATTTTAACATTTATATTTTTCTGTTTAAGTTTTAGTTATCAATTTGTTGAAATAATAGCATGTTCGATATTTTAATTAGTTATTAGTTGAAAGTAGTCATATTTAATAGCTGACTCAAATAAATTCATGAAGTTATTCATGAATTGAGTAAATGCTTTTAATATTTGTATGTTTTTCTATTTCTCATATGTATTTAATTAAATATTTTGCCACTTGTGAAAATTAATCAAACATACTCTTACACGAAAAGGATCAGTCAAGGGTTGTTTTTGTGAAACTATTTTGTCCAGTCAAAATTTCATATTGGAAAAATATTAGTAAAAAATCACTAGATGTATTTGTTATCATCTTTGTCTGTTTTTTTTTTTTTTTTTCAGTGTAGACAATACCTCCATATAAACAATTCTTGTCCTTTTGATGTAAGATTATATTAAATTTATTTGAAAAAAATCAAGATATGGCTCAAACAAATAACTTCAGATAATAAATAGTTTTAGACTACCTATTAAGAAATTGATTTTTTGATAAATTAAATATTTTTAAACAAGTCGTTTTAATTTAATTTTGAGTCAATTCTATTAATTTTTTTCAAAACCTTTTAATGCAATTTTTTGATTTAGGAATGCAAATCGTTTGATAACTTATGCTGTAACTTTTCTTTATGTCATATTCCATTAAGAAGGCAATCTTCACTAATTACATTTTTTGCCTATGATTTTATTTATTTAATTTGGAGGCACTTAAAAACTATATTGATGTGGTGACTCCTTTCATTTGAACCTTCTGAAAGCAATTGTTTTTTATTGACTAAGTTAATGTTTGGAATATTTTTTTCTAATACAGTTACCTTTTTATTTGTTTGTACAGCTTTGTTTGAGAGGTATATAAGAGGTTGTTCATTAGAAATGTGATAAAACAATGTAAATATATGTAAATAAAAATTAACAAAATAAATTCATAAAACAAATATATTTCTTGTTTACTTCTGTCCTTTTCTGTCAACTATTCAAAAATTTTTATTAGAGTTGAAAATACTACCTTTGTTGTTTCTTTTTTAATTTTAATCTGAGATAGTTCAAAATGTTAATTCACCGAACTTTGGCGAAAAATGACGTACATAGACATATTTTTGTGTTGAGAAGCATGTGATGGAATACTATTTTTTAGGAGATGATTTCCAAGTCTAAAGAGAACATTTGAGATGAAAACATTTTTGATCGAAATTTGTGAAATAAATTAATTTATACTTACCCCCTTTTCAAAATGTACAACCTTTAAGAAAAATTAAAATTTGCAAAAAATGTAAATCTATTTGTATCTATCAACTGACTAGAGAAAAAATTGTATACATATATGAGACCCTTTTTAATTTTCCAACCTGGGACTTCCAATATTTAATTTTTTAATTCGCAAATTTCATTTGAAGTTTTTTTGATACAAGAATTATGAGTCCATGTTTATAAAAGTAGTAGTAAAAGCCCTTTTTATGATAAAATTAACAAAATTCTATGCAATAAATTATCAGTTTCTAAACTGCAGGCTTTTTGTACATGTGTTCTATTGTAACTAACAAAAAGTCGCGAAATGGTCATTTTCCTGGCCTATAAGGCCCGGCCAGTCAAGGCTGTTGTTTTTCTAAATTAAAAAAAGGATGATGGCCATGATTAAAGACAAAAGTACTAGTAAACACAATCTAGTGCTAGCTGTGAAAAAAAGAAACTTAATTTCTGAGATATTAAGTAGGACAGACCGCCCATGTACCTTTCAAAAGTATAGAACTTTAACTAAAGCATTGGCAATTTTAAGATTCATTTAAAAAATATAACTATAGACTGTAGCTCCAAAAGCAATAGTTTTTTTAATTAAAAAATTGTAGTCAGTACAGGGGTGGATCCAAAGATGGAATTGGCGGAGGGTACGTTTGTACAGTTGACGTCTAAAAAAAATTATTTTTTACTTCTCTGTGAATGGAAATTCCATGTAAAATTAAAATTATTTTTTCTAATGTGAAATTTTCATATTTTCACTACATTGTATTTCCTAAATTGTAAACTTATTCCAAATAGTATAGTTTACTAGCATTTATTTGACCAAAAAATTAACAAAAAATGTTTGTTTATCAGTTGATTTTTTATTACGTAGCACCCTATATGGATTGGACATGGATTTTAAGGTAAACTTGTTATTACCTATCCTTTTTAAGGGATACCTATTCCTTTTAAAGGGTCAAAGGTATCACCTCCTAAAGTACCTATTGTTATGATGTATATTTGCTAAAAACATATTTATTATTATGATACAGATGTAAGGATGCAAGCATTGACCATTGAGTAAGCTACGCTTCATATCTAATGAGGTAAATAGGTACCTACTAGATCATTACATAAAAAAAGAAAAGGGCTGCTATTTAAAAATGATTGACAGATGCTAAATGTCAGAGACTGGGTTTGACTTGGTTTGTTTTTAAATAATTCTAGTGGTCAAATTGTTTTAACATGCTGAAAGATCGCAAAGTGATGTTATAACTGTACTTATGAGTTTTTCAAATAAATTTTAATGCTATTTCTTAGGATAAGAGTGAGAGAAATAAATGTAAAAAACGTTTTGAGAATATCGCCTCGTTAGTGCAGGCATTGGAATACAGCATTATTGAATCTCACCAAAGCGATCGAGAGGTACTGATGGCTGTACGGTTGGACAATCTGAAAAATCACAGTATGAAAATTAAGATTGAACAATTAGAAGAGGAAAATAGGCAACTTCTTAGTAAGTGTTTACTGTTAGATTCGATGTCTTTTAATTTGATGGACTTGTTTGTTTATTTTATTTTTTTAATTTAGGACATACATCCTCCTGTCCTGAAACTTTTGTTGATAAGATAAATACAAAATATTTATTATGTTACGTTTTATAAGATGGAACAAAAAAATGAACAGGGGCAGAGAATACTTCTGAGAGAGTGTTCAAGTTTTTGAAATATAATATAGCTACGCAAATATCTTAAATGATTCTTTCAAGGCATTATTTTTATTATGCTCTTTATTTCATCTCCTGCTATTATGCCATAATGAAAACTTCGCATAGCCACTTGCACAACTTCAACTCTATAAGTACCATCATAATGAAGCATTTTTGCCGACAGCACGGCAGTGGTTGGTAATCTGATCAAACTGAATAATTTTTTGGGGTAGGACGTGGTCATTGTCCGATGACGCAGGGTGGCTACGCCTGCTCGATGTCCTGGTGACTCGACGATAGAGATTTAGAAAGGTCAGTGAATTTATTGGAAAGATTGGTGATTTTTGTAATTGTGTTGAACGACTTGTTGCATGATAGATGACCGTTCGTAGCGTCTGGGGAACTTCGAGCAGAATTTCGAAACATCCGTAAATTTTGGTAAATTTCGTCCAACATTGTCTTACTGATTGCAGAGCGGCTTAGGCGTGTTGTTGTAGCCTACTTTGATACATTTGTATGAGGAATATGAGTCTCGATCGTTTTGGTGACTGGCTTCGAAACATCGGTGAAATTTTGAAGGCCTTATTATGTTCTACAACAATGATATTTATAACTAATCACCGTGTACTTAAGTTTGAATTATTATTGTCAAAATTCAATGTTCGAAAATATTGTTTTAGGTATGTTACACCCGAGACTTGATGAACTTGGTACTTCGAGGACACCCTCAAATTCTTCATGCTCTACTACGAGTATAGTGCACTTGCAGTACAAGTAGGTCAAGTATGTAAAAGTATTACGAGTAGGTTTCTACATAATCACCCAAAATTATGTTACCAGTTACTACACCTTTTCCATTTATACTTAATTCAGAAAGCACCAATTGTATTTTAGATTAATTATTAATTTTATATCAGATAACGTAATTAGAATTTCAGATTAATCAAAAGACTCCAGTTGTATTTCAGAATAGTTAGATTTAATTTAGAAAATATAGATGTCATATTATTTATATTTCAGAATATTGATACGGATTCGATTATTTTATAGAAACGATAATGTCGACTGGCATAGTGGCGCAATTCAATTTAACTACCATTTCGAATAAATTGTGCTGCAAGCCCTATGGAAGTCTCTAAAAAAACAATCGCGCAAAATCTAATCTTTTTCATTTCATTTAAAGAAAAGGTCACACAATCAGCGACCTATCAATACAAAATTTCAAAACTTAAACACTTCTTGAAACTTGTAGCATATAGCAACAATTAGGGGGGGAGGGGGGTTCCCTGGCCTACGCCCATGCCATATAGTGCCATGTAAAAGGCATTCACAAACTTACTTAATATTAAACTTTACACTACAAGGATCTTGGAAACGGTAAGAGATAGTTTAAAGGGGGGCAAAGTTGCATAATCAGGGGACGAACATTATGCCTCTAAAAAATCAAGGTTAACATGATTAGTTTTCAAAATATTTAAAAAAAAACGAAATTTTGGAAATCCGTTTTTATTTAGTTTCAGCCTTGTTAGAGATGGTATTGAAAAAAAATAACACTTTCTCTTAGCAACTTTTTGCCCTCTATCGAATGTATTTTTATATGTAACGTTTCATCTCTCCAGGACCACCATCAACTTCATTTTTTTAAATACAACCCTGGAAATTTTATTACATTTTTTGCAAGCCATCATAATCTCCAATATTGTACTGCCTCACCCCACACCAGATACAGACGTTTTGTCTCTAAAAAAATCGTTCCAAATTTATCATTTTTTTTTTTTTTGTTAGATTTCTATGTCTCTTGAGTTATCGTACACTGTAAATGTCGTTAGATCCTGTGAAATCCACCTAGTTATTTAAACTATTACCATCACACGTTACAATAAAGCATTATTAGAGTTTTAATCCATGTGCTCATAGTTATTTCTAGGTTTCTCGAGTGCTCAAAATTCAAACAAATTTCGATCTATTTTTTTTTCAGGATAATCATACAAATATACCTATCTGACATGCTCTTTCAGAGTTTCGGTTACAGGTATAATAAATTCCGATCATATTATGCTTATATTCATTTTCAACATTTGTCAAAACGCAAAAGTTTTTGAATATTTACTTACTGTAATTTTTTAAAGTATAATATTCATTTGAAGTTTTGGTTGTTATTATGCATTTTTAAGAATTAATTTATCATAATGAAATCATATTTGTAATAATGTTTTAATTTTGACGCAACAACTTATCGAATTATACCAGGTGATGGGGATTAAAACGTCAATAATGTTTTATTGTAACATGTGATGGTAATAGTTTAAATAACTAGGGGAATTTGACAATGTGTAACAACACTTAGAGTGTACGATAATTCAATAAACATAGAAATCTAAATAAAAAATTTAGATAAATTTGGAACGAATACACTGAAGTTGAATTTTTCGAGACAAAACGTCTGAATCTGGTTCATGCTGAAGCAATACCAGTATTGGGGGCCATGAAGGCTTACGAAAAATGTAATAAAATATCCAGGCTCGTATAAAAATAATGAAGTTCATGATGGTCCTGGAAAGACAAAACGTTATATATAAAATTTGATTATCCATAGAGGCCAAGAAGTTGCCATGAGAACAGGTAGAAATTCGACAAAATTGTAAAAATTTTCTTAAGCTAAGAAAACATTAGAATGGAAATTTTTAATTAAATATATATTTACTTAAACAACTTTAATTTTAAAAATTAATACACATAATACTTTATTTTTTTTAAACTATTGTAATACTTAAATTACTAAATATTTGTTGACAAAAGAATTTAAAAATATAAAATTTCATGTTAAAAAGTAATACATTTCCACATTTTAATAATTTAGCTCTGGAATTTTAAATGAAAATACATAAATTTTTATCTATCGGAATCAGAATAAAAGTTTAACAGCAATGATGTGTAGGTACACAGAAAGCTTATTTTTGACAACCATGAAAATTTTATTAATAAAGTGCTTGACAAATTTTCAAAAAACCCGAAATTATGTTTACCTAATTTTCATTGAATTTCTTTATTTTTTTAAAATTATTTATATTTTTTTAATGTTTTACTTGTATTAAAAATATGTATTTCTAGAAAAAATTAATTCACTGTACCTAACTCTACCTATAATTTATATTTCTCCCATCCTCTCTCTTATCTTGTCCCCTAGCTCATTAGCTGGCCACGCCCTTGACTCTTAGCCAAGAAATATAAAACTGTATAATAACTCTCATTGTAACAATGATCCCTAGTGTCTCCTCAACTTATACGTTCTCTGATTTTACTTTAGATATGAAGAATTGTTAGCTAATCACAACGGATTGTTAAAAATACTGGAGTTGAGGATATCAGATGTAAGGAGATATCAAGAAGAAAATGCTAAATTGAAGCAGGAAGTTGAAAATTTGAAAGCTAGTTTGGAAAGTCACAATGATCAAATTTCTAAGTTATTAGAAAAGAATAAGGAACTGAAATATAGAAAAAATAACAAGGTATTGTGAATATTTTTGTTCATTTGAAAAGTATGGAGTTTAGTTCCTTTTCTTGGAAATCTAGAAAGTGGTTTGAGGATGGTTGGAAAAAAATTGGTTAAATTACTTTAGTTTCGTTGTAAATTTCGTAGACTACAAAACTCAACATTTTTCTAATTTTGAACACTTTTACAACTATCGGTATTAGAAATTTATAAATAATAGGTACATAAATTCATAAATTAACATTGATTTATCGACTAACACTGTTAGAATTTTTGTAAACCTTCCAAATATTGATTTTTTATCAACGCCATATTAAATTTACGTTTTTGGATAGTCCTTTTTTATTCTATTTAAGGTGTATTAGTTTCTAGGTACCTACATATTAAAATTAAAGATCACATTTAAACAGAAACAACTATGTAGGTACACACAAATGCCGCTTACTGGTAACAATTTGCGTCGCAAATAATAAGGCAAAAAATATAATAATTGAAAATGGTTTTTATTTTATTATTGTAAAATTCCTAACTTTTCGTAAACAGTAAAATCAGATTAGGTTCATACAGACAATTCACAACGAGTTAATAGACTGTATTCGGCAGAAATATTATTTATTAGAAAATTCCTCTCATCATCATCAATGTGTTTCAGATCCTGAGATTGAAAAATGACCGAAACACCTTAGCCATCATCCATAACAGATTAGTAAATCTATTGCATAAGCAGTGTATGGAGAACGATAATTTTCTTCATAAGGCCGTAAAAGAAACGTCAAAATCGGAGAGAGCTCTGTTGCTTCAAGAAGTAGGTATTTGGATTAAATGTAATTTCAGCGACAGTTTTCTGATGGCATTTTGTTTCAGATCCGTAACAGTAATATACTTTCTTATGAAAATTTTCAGCTTCAACAAGAAAACGAATACCTTCAGTCGGTATTAAATGTGAAAAAACGCAGCTGTAGTGAAATTATGTCTTTGTGAATATAATAATTATAATAAAGAACTTAAAAATATAAATATGTATAACTTCACTACTTGATATAAAAGCGTTATAAAAAAGCTATCTTGGGAACAAAGAGGCGTAGATGATTTCTTTTTTTAAGTTAGTGTAAAAATAAGCTCTGTTTAATGCAAAAAGAGCGAATTGTCGAGCGGCTTTTGCCTGACCCTGCGACAATTGGTTTTTGACGCTGTTTTGCACATCCTACTTTGTTAGTTGCAAAGAGCAACTTAATTTAGATCAATTAGAACCTATATCTATGATATTAACTTCTAAAAATTAACGTTTAGTAATTAAACAATTAGTTGTAAAAAAGCAAACAAAATTAATTAACAAAGAGCTGGAGCAACAATTTCACTGTTAATCGAATTGGCCTTTGGCACACATGTTGGTCATTGGATTGACCGTCTTTTCCATAAATTTTTTCAACATCCATAGCCTTTCCGCAATAATAATACGCAATTTTTGAAAACTGATTTTTTAGCATTCGACCTATATTTTATAGTTATCAAATTGGTGAAATATGACTTAAATTGTACAACATAATATAACTAATTTTCCCCTAGATTTTCGTGCGCAAAAAGTGAAAAAACACGTAATTTTGTCACTTAATTGCAATTTGCTAATTCGACTGAACTAACGAGCGTTCAAATAAAAACGTGGTCGAAGTTGGCTCTGACACATTGGACGTAGGGAGTAGCTTATAGCGACCAACTTAACCTCATTTCTCAACGAGCTGTATAGCAGCTGTCAGTTTTAATAACGTTAATGACTATATAACTTTATTTTAAAGAATAATCGTGATAACAATAACAAACAATTAAAGGAGCTGCGGAAAGTGTCCCCCTCCTTGTTATAACAATAAATTAAAGCAGCTGCTGAAAGTGTCCCCCTCCTTGTTCCAAGCACTTTTCACACCTGTTCCTCAAAGAATTAAAGACATTTTCTAAGATGCTCGGGGTATTGTTAATTTCACGAATCTTGTCTATAAGTCGAGCCTGCAGATGGTTTAAATCAGGAATAGGCAGTTCAAAAATAGTGTTTTTAAGGTAAGGCCACAAAAAGAAATCACACGGCGTAATATCACATGACCTCGGTGGAAATTCATGTTCAGCATTGAGACTTATTAGTCGATTTTGGAAAACTTCCCTCAACATATTCATCGTCTCGCCTGCCGTATGTGCCCTTGCGCCATCTTGTTGAAAGTAAAAGTTTGTAATTTCGTTTTCTTCCAGCTGGTTAACAAAAGGAGCGATAATTTCTTCTCTATACCTTTGCGCAGTAAGAGTACCATTAAAAAAAATAGGTCCATAAATCCTCCTTCGATTGAGAGCACACCAAACTCCAATTTTTTGAGCGTGTAGAGGGCCCTCGACAAAAAAGTTATCTGGTTTTTCAGAAGACCACATTCTCATATTCTGTGAGTTTACGTAACCACTTAAATGAAACCAGGCTTCATCAGAAAAAAAGGTGATATTATGAAGTTCACCGTAGTTGTTTAAAAACCATTCACAAAATACAGCCCGTCGCGGAAAATCAACTTCATGAAGTTCTTGCTGACAAGTTAAACGATAGGAGAACAAACGCAAATCTTTTTTTAACACTGTGTGGCAGGTACCGACTGATACTCCCACCATTTGTGATAAAACACGTACAGAAGTTCTTGGCGCATTTTCCATTATTTGTTGGACATTTTCTTTTAATTCTTCAGTCCGCTTTTTAGGTCGGCCGCTTCCTTCTTTTCTTGTTACACTGCCCGTTTCACGAAAAACATTAACACAACGCTGAACTGCACTTTGAAAAATTTTGTACTCAACAACGCCGGGAAATTGATTTTGAAATTCTATGAAACATTCCTCAATAGAATACTTCCATATTCCATCAATCTTGCGTCCATTTCTAAAGTAGGACTCTATGATAAACACTTTTTGTTCTTGAGAAAACACCATTTTAAACGCTTTTTAAAACGAAAATATTCAAATTGATAGCGGCGATATAGCGCTTTGACAGATGACGTTTAAGTTCATTTGCTATACGCTACGCCCTACGTCCAAATTTTCAGAACCAACTTGACCACGTTTTTATTTGAACGCTCGTTATAAAATTTGTAACATATTTTACGGGACACCTTATAGATATATACACTTGTACTTATAATCTTAAATTAAGTAAACTTTCTTATATAAACAAAAATACGGATTCGAGTAAGAATAGTTATAATTTTTAGAAAGTTGTCTTGTTAATAATTATTATGTACTGTATTATTAGATAAAACACGACTAATATTTAATATTTAAAATTTTTCAATATAATATTTTTCAATAAAGGTGGCGGAATAAAAAGACATATAACATGTATATATTTTATTCGTGTATTTATTTCGTTAAGTAACATCGTCGAATTATTTGTAGATATTAATTATGTTTGTATGAAATGTGTCTGAACCAATAACATTAAAAAAATAAATGTCTATCACAGATTACATCTTTCTTCAGAACTCGTTTATTTATAATATCTAAAAAGGCCTAAATTAGTGATCAAATTTTTAAAATAATAGTCAGAATTTTTTACTTGGCTGTAAGATCGAATCCATTAGTATGTTGCATGTTTAAATTTCCCAGTTTCCTTTTTCCAGAGTTGCTGTCACCCATTTCGTTCCAAACTGTCGGTAGTTCCATCTTGTCTAATAAAAAAAAGTGTATCAACGTAGGGCTCTTGCAGTGAGTTTGAATAATAAAACTCGAATAACATACGTAAATAAAACATATTTTTACAGTCTACATCTTTCGCTTCGAATATTTTCTTTTTACTTTTGCACTCTTTTGCGTGCACATTACATCGTTACTCTTGTTTTTTTTTTGCGAAAGAAATGAGCCCTAAAAGCTCGTTACAATGTTGCTGTTACACCCTAGAGGACATGGTTTATAATAAGTTGTATAATGGCGAAGGTGCCAATGTTTAGATATAGATGATTGTAGAGGAAAGCAACATAAAATACTGGTGAATTCAACTATACAAGTACCAATGATCGAAATGAACGAAAAATTATGTACAGCTTTGCTTTGTTAAAAACTAAATCAAAATAATATATTTTTAATAATTATTTACACAAGCTCAAAAGAAAGTTCAAATACAAGAGATCCACATATAATTACCGAAGGAATTCGATGCGCAGAACACTATCCTGCACTCAAAATTCATGACTTGCCGATGAATTTCGGAGCAAAGTGAAATTTTTGGGCGAAAAATTAAAATGTTGTTAAGAAATAAGACAACTATTATTCCTATCTGTCAGATGATCACGAAACAAATTTTATTTTACAAATATGTGTTGGAAATCTATACAGGCTGTTATAAATTCGCTTCTCACTACAGGGATCTCAGAAACGGTAAGAGGTATGAAGTAGCTTAGATTGGGGCAAAGTTACGTAATCAGGGGACCAACATTATGCCTCTAAAAAAACAAGGCTAACATGATTAGTTTTCGAAATATTTGAAAAAAAACGAAATTTTGGAAATCCGTTTTTGTTTTATATCATCCTTGTTTGAGGTGATATTGAGAAAAGAAGGACACTTTCTTATGGCCACTTTTTGCCTTCCATCGAATGGTATAATCATTTTTTATATGTAACGTTTCGTCTCTCTAGGACCATCATCAACTTCGTTTTTTTAAATGCGACCTTAGAAATTTTATTACATTTTTTGCAAGCCTTCATGACCCCCAATACTGTACTGCCTAAGATGATGATGGCCCTGGAGAGACGAAACGTTACATATAAAAAATGATTATACCATTCGATGGAAGGCAAAATGTGGCCATAAGAAAGTGTCCTTCTTTTCTCAATATCACCTCAAACAAGGATGATATAAAACAAGAACGGATTTTCAAAATTTCTGTTTTTTTTTCAAATATTTCGAAAACTAATCATGTTAGCCTTGATTTTTTAAATGCATAATGTTGGTCTCCTGATTACGCAACTTTGCCCCCATTTAAGCTAGTTTGTATCTCTTACCGTTTCCGAGATCCCTGTAGTGAGAAGCGAATTTGTAACAGCCTGTGTAATGTATAAATAAATAAATAAATTAATTAATTAATTAATTAATTAATAGATAAATATAATTTTTGATTTTTGTTTGAAATTTTTTCATCACAAAATGTGTCTTTGTGATCCTAAATGTACTTCCTTAAAAATTGGTATGGGGTTCATTATCAAAATATGAACACTGTGGTGTATAGTGAGACAACCATTTTTTTCGTGGTTATACGAGGTTTGATTAAAAAGTAACGGGACTTTTCAAATTCCGCGTATCCGCTCTATCGAGCTGATTCTTTTTTTTTTGTGAATTGGTAGCACTGTTACTGACGTACCTGTCTATATTTAGGCAGCTGCCACGCTAGGTTGTGTTTAGCGAGCGAATTCGTAAAACATACCTAAGTGTTTTTGGCGATTTTTTGTGTGGCGAAATGTCTGATCACAGAGTTTTTATGTTAAACGGAATTAACTGAAGCAAAGTGGTTGAAATGTTAAAGAAGGCTTTTGACGATGATACTATCTTACAACCACGAGTTTGTCAATGGTACAAATGTTTTCAGGAAGGCCAAGAAGACTTCGGAGATAAGGCGAGATCTCATCAAATGTGAAGGTCCTTCTGACCGTTTTCTTCGACTACCATGGAATAGTTCATACAGTTAACAGGGAGTACTACCTACAAGACCTGCGCAATTTACGTCAGGCAATCAGGAGAAAACGAGAAAAACACAAGAGCTAACTCGTGGATTTTGCACCACCGGCACATACCGCTTTGCTTATCCAACAATTTTTGGCGAAACACAACACCGTTGTGGTGCCGCAACCGCCATATTCTTCGGGCATAGCACCTGTGACTTTTTCCTATTTCCCAAACTCAAAAGGATACTCAAAGGACAACGCTTTTCAACAACAGATGAGATAAAGGCAAACTTGCAAACTGTGCTCGACGTTCCTTTAGTGTTTCTCAATATCACAGTGGAACTAATTTGAAGGGGACGTAAACAAAATTGAAGATTAAATAGATATTTTCTAATAAAATGAACAATTCTCGTTACTTTTTGATCAATCCTTATACATACTCGCACACCCCGTGGTATGGGGTTGGGAAGTCTGCCAACTGACAGCCATGTAGTTTCAGATCCCTCATGATGAGATCCTTATTGTTCTCATAAAGTTTCATGGTTTTGGTCCTTCGAGATATAATATGCTAGTATATAACTTACTCGTTTTTTTGTTCCTTCGACCACTGTTCGATAAATTCGATAGTAGACTAATGTTAGAATCTCTTCTCACTCCAGAAGGTTGGCCAGCAACATACCTAGACACGCTCAGGTACTGATTTCTTGCGGTACCAGCGCTTGCTTTGGCTAAAGGTTCCAATATATCTTGAAGATTGTACTGACTCAGGTTTATTTTGGTTTCTTTGTTCTTGTCTGAAGGAGGCATCTTGATTTTGCTTCTTACCCCAAGAAAAACATGAAAATAAAATCGAGAATATGGTGTTAGTTGTATCTTATATATACGAGTATTATATTATTAAGATTGAATAAGTGTCATTTATAGTTTTTAGTTTGGGCTTACCCTAATATATCTGCAAAATCATCCTCGTATTCGAAATTGTTTTCTAACCCCCAGGTAATCTTCTTATTTGGTATATTTCGATTGTTATGATTGTTTACATTATTAAGGACTGGTAAATATTTACTACTGTAATCCGACTGGCCAAAGCTATATACTATAGGCGGTGCATGCTGCTCTTGTTTTTCAGGAGATTTCATTGGCTTTATCAGAGATTGAATGTTTATTTGTACAGAGGGTTGCAAAGGTTGCATCGTAGGGTTCTGGTTCAACTGTTTCAGTAAGGGCCGTCCGTTGGCTTGAAGCTGTAGTGACTGCTGGTTGGCATATATTTGGTTTTCATCGGAAGCTATTTGCTGCGTCGGGATTTTCTGAAATATTCCGTTTGTATGCGGCTGAAGGGCACTGTTAAGCTGTATTTGGCGATTGTTGTGGAGAGCGCTATACTGCTGCCCCACCTAGAGTCACATAAATACAACTTGTAAATTTGAAGAGGTACAGGTCACTTAGATAATAATTATAATTCATGCACATTCTACCTCTACATTCTATCTAGGATAAAATGGTAAAGACTAAAGTTTTAGGAAATCGATCTTGCGATTTATAAGAACTATTTAAAAAATAAAAAACAATTGTTGCATTTAGAAGATTGAATCAAAAATGTTTTAACGTGATTATTATTTTTCACTAAACTCCGTGTTTAAGCATATCTTGAGTTCTCCAACAACTCTGTTAAATACAATTTTCAGCGAAAACAAAAATTAAATGCGCTTTGCTTAGAGAAAATTTCACATTTTGAAATTTTTTGGACGCCCTGTATGTTTTTTACATATTTGATTACTGCCTATGGCTTCCCAAGATAAGTAAAACTTTTTATCAATCATCAATGAAAAATTTTACGAGAGTGCGGTACCCCATCCGGAGACACTGTTTATAATTGCAATTAGAAAAATATACAGGGTTCCATTAAAAAAAAGTTTAATTTTAGTCTTCGAAACGTACCAATATTTTTACATATTTATCTGAAATTGTATCGCTAATAAAAAAAACAGTTCCACCTTTAATCTATAAAGGCTCCTATAGCACTAAAAACAAATGTTACTCTTTTTTTTAGGTTACTGCGATGAGAAAAATATATACAGGGTGTGGCGTGTTTAATCTATAAAAATTAAACTACAGCTGATATACATGATATTTGTTATAGAAAACTTAAATGAAAAAGTTCTATCTTCGCGTTTTTTTTTGTAAATTAAATTTTATTTTTTCAACGAAAATAAAGGCCGACCCTGTGTTATTTGTTAAAAACTTTGGAAATGTTTTTATGCGACGCGAGGTGCAACCTTATAATTTAAGTCGGTATAATCTAATACTAGTAATACTAAAGAAAGGTAAGGTTACATTGTCAAAAAATTTGTGCAGTCAACTGATTTTGTATTTGTATTGAATTCATTATTCACTTAATTATTAAATATTAAGCATCGTCCATCGACCCATCAGTGTTAAAAAGTGAAAGATTCCAGACAAAGGGTTTTATTTTGGAATTCCACGATAGTGACAGTGTAAATTTTATAAAGAAGTAAAAAATAAAAATAGCGTACCAATTACATTAAAAACGAGATTCTTGTTTCTTACTTTGCTTAATTTTTTAGTTTGTGCACAAACTAGTTTTACAATGAACAGAGAAAACAATGCATTTACTATTTCCGAACGTGTCGATGGTGTTAGTGTATGCACCATACACTAACACCATCGACACGTTCTGGAGAAAATGCGCTCGCGGCGACTATGTTGTACCGGGAACGATGGCCACAACGTCCAAATACATTCCTACAGCGCGTTCAGCGGTTGCAAGATAGGGGAAGTGTTATTCCTCGAGGAGAAGGACGTGGTCAACAAGTGAACCTTAATGTTGAAGATGCAGTGTTGGAAAATCTTAACGAAGACCTCAGAATTAGTACTCGACGACTCTCACAGCAAGCAGGAACCTCATCTCGTACCGTACATCGAATCTTAAGGCGTCAGCTGTTGCACCCCTATCATCTGCAACCAGTTCAAAAGATTTTACCCCCGGATTGTGATCAACGAATGCGTTTTTGCATATGGTTTTTACGGCAATGTGCCAATCAAGTAGACTTTCCTGCTTATGTTTGTCTAACAGATGAGGCGACATTTATCCGTGATGAGGTGAACTCGGTAAATGTTTGGGCTGACATAATAGGAGATGTACTTGTGAGTCACCTATTTCTTTGAAGAACGACTAAATGGACCAACATATTCTGACTTTTTGGAAAACCGATTGCCTGAATTATTGGATGATGTGGCAATACAAGTTCGGGCACGCATGTTTTATCTTCAAGATGGGGCTCCTCCACACAGTACTTCAGAAGTAACTACACTTTTGAATGAAATGTTTCCTCAGCGATTGATTGGACGCTTTGGTCCTGTACCGTGGCCACCTCGGTCACCCGATCTAACTCCAATGGACTTTTATCTTTGAAGTCACTTGAAGTCATTGGTTTACAATACTCCAATTGCTACGGTGGAAGAATTACGAAACCGTATACTTGAAGCTGCTGACACAATTAGGGGAATACCTGGAATTTGGGAAAATATTCGCTAAAATTGGGTGCGTCGGTGCCATGCCTGTATCCGCGCTAATGGGGATCAATTTCAACATTTTCTCTAGAAATGGTAAGTTTTATTTCATTTTGTTCCATATTTTAATGGTGTTTGTTTAGTGCACGCAGTTGGCAACTACAGATGCTTACGGGTGTAGTTTTGTTTGCGAACTCTTGCAGTAACAATGCATTTAAGATATTAATTACTATTAATTAATATAATAAGAAAATATCAGTTTTTTTTTAATATCTATTTTTCCCCAAAAATTGAGAAGTATCTTTCTATCCTTCAACGACGATTTGTTTACGCGGCTGGTCTACAGCACGTAACTCATCGTACAGCACACGGACAGGACCGTCCCAGAGAAAATATTTTGACACATAATTGAATTTTAATTTACGAAAAAAAGAAACGCAGAAATAGAACTTTTTCGTATAACACTATTCTATTACAAATATCGTTAGGAGGCTGTGGTTTAATTTTTATACATTATACACGCCACACCCTGTATTGTTGTTTCTCAGTCCGTATAAAAATTATGTTCGCGGTAGCAGTCATTATTTAATCATGAGTCACTAGTTGTTAGCTTTGTAGGTTGATGAACGATAAAAGTATTCAGCACTGATTTCAGTGAAGATAATTTCTTCGACGGCTACAACGACACGCAAAAGTTTAAGCGTTACTTAAAGTTACCTGAAAGAATTGATGCTTCAAGGCTGACTGAGCTGTAGGTCGATGGGTCGGATTCCATTCTAGCAAGTCATCCATTAAATTGATAGAACTATAACTTGCTTGAGGCACTACGTCACTAAGGGGAGTTTTGGCAAAATATGGAAATTTGAATCCTACAGCGCCCGCCAGTTGATAACATTCGGACCATTTTTTCTGCAATATAGTTTACAATAAAAGAAATTTCGAAGATTTCACATTTCACGGTAAAAAATAGCATAAGGTAAAGGATATATTTGATGTAAGATTTACAGACTATGCTCCAACCAAAATAGCCGCCTCTAATAATTTCGAAAGTAACAATTTTTTGAAAACACGCTCAAACACGTCAAATGAAGATAGCCGCTATTTTCATATTAAATCGGCATGCATTTATTGAATATCGTGGTCGGCTGACGAAAGAATTTGTAGCTACTTCTGGTCTACCGCAAGGATCGCTTCTTGGTCCTCTTTTCTTTAATATATTCATTAATAATATTGTGGTTGAAACTGATGTTAATTGTTTATTATATGCTGATGACATGAAGCTCTATATAAGTATAAGTAGCGGAAATGATTGTTTAAATTTACAAACCGTTTTAAATAAAATTGTTTTATGGTGGGACGTTTCTTAAAGGTTGCAGTGTTTAGAAAGGATGGCAATTATCCACCTATTGGTATCCCTAAATGTGATCTTTTAAATAGATTTTCATTTCGCAGTTTAGATGAACGTAGAACGATTGCACAATTGATATTTTTATATAAGTTATTACATATTGTGATTGACTTGACTTGACTTCTATACTTTCATTGTTAAATTTTCATACACCTAAACTATCATCTCGTTTTTTTTTTTTTCATTGTTTTATTTACCTGTGTCAGGAATTAATATTCAAAAATACTCTCATCTTTTTCAAATGTGTGATAAATATAATCTGTTTCAAAATCAGTTTGAAATTTTTAATTGTAATATAGCCATTATTAAAAAAGTTACATTTACAAATTAAATTATATTTGTTTTACAATTATCTACTGTTTTGTTTAATTGTTTAAGTGTGTAATGTTTTGTATTGTTGCTTATCTCATATTATGTAGTGTATGATGTAGTTTTCTGATTGTACCTACCCTGTAATTGGAATTTCTGTAGGGTAGTGTATTGTCTAAATAAATAAATAAATAAACAAAGATTTCAGTTTGTTGTTTAAAATACTATACAGTCAAATATGTTGGAAGTAAGATATGGTGCTGCTCAAGGTTCCATCTTGGGACTTCTACATTTTAAAATGTTTGTAAACGATCTTCATAACTGTTTTGACAGTAATATTTTAGTTACACTTTTTGCAGATGACAACAGAGTCCAGTGTTCCTCTGTTTTATTTAATAACTCGGTTTTATTACAATCATTAGCAAATAACTGGTTTTTCTAGAATAAAATAACGACCTACGATGATCTTTAACCTTCGCAATTTAAATGACAAAAGTAATTCCGAATATGTCAAATTTCTTGATATATGGATATCCTAAGGTATCTTGGAATCATCATACTGATTATATTAGTAAAAAAGTTTCAAAACTACATTATCTTCTCTTATCGACTTTAAAAACTCCATACCACGGCCTAATTCATTATATTACATCTTACATTATTATAGTATGTATGTCTTAATGTATTTTTAAATATTTTAGAATTTAGTTGAACATACCTTTTATAAATTAACCTACATTTGAACCTTTTTTGTATTTGCATTAACTGTATACTTTTAAATCAATTACTTTTCTTTTCTTTGGGCGCACGTAAACACTTTTGGTGTATTTACCATTATTTTGAAATAAAAAATATCTCTTTGAATGGAATCCCATCTTACCTTATCAGGTGTCCCCAAAATGGCACAAATTTTGTACAGTTGGTCGGTTTCCGTTGTTCCTGGAAACAACGGTCGATACGTGTATATTTCAGCAGCGATACATCCCACTGCCCATAGGTCTATGGGGCTGCTGTAAGTCGTGGAATGGAGTAATACTTCTGGGGCCCGGTACCATCTGGTTGACACGTAGTCGGTATAAGGGGGTCGAGACCTTATCTCTCGAACCAAACCGAAATCGGCTATTTTTACCAAGTCTGGTCCGGAACATAGAATATTCTCAGGTTTAAGATCTCTATGGAAAAACCCATGTCTATGTATAAACGCTAAACCTTGCAATATCTAAAAAAAAAAAAATTAGTGAAAGTTAAATTTCTCTTTGCCATTTGATTCACCATCTTCTTTTTCAATACATAGGATTCTCACTTATATTTGATACACACGTAAAGGGTTTATTATAAGAAATACAAAGAAAAATTATACAAATGCTTTTGGACATTTTCCATGCCATTTCTTGGAAGAAATAAATGTTAAAACACATCCAATTAAGTACAACTTTTAATTTTAACAGACTATACTTTCACAAGTTTAACAAATGTTTCTAGGGTCACCGCATGAGTTTAAGGTTTGATTGATCTATGTCTAATAGTAAGCGAGATATTGTTTAAAACAATTTTCAAAGAAATAGATGAGAGTTGAAATGGAAATGTCTGCATATAAGAAACTTTTATAAATTCGAAAGTTCTTGTTCTGCAAATATAACAAAGTTAATTCACATTAAAGTTAGGTACTAAATTGTGCAGATAACTTGTTTAAAGTAAATCAAGATTTTAAATTACTGTTACATCGATTGCAGAGAATATTACTCATGCACATAATATTTCTGCCAAAACTGAAGATCGTTTATAGTTATTGCTATTATTTAATTGTGTATTTCCCCACTGAAAAAAAAATGAGATTCAAGTAATTGGTTTTATAAATTCCGTTTTGCCAAACCAGAAATATCTCACATTGAGAAAATAGATAATGCTAATGCTAACGACTACACATGGTGATCACAATACAATTTGCCGTCGAAAACAATCTATTTTCTCAGTTTGTGACTTAATTTTTTAATAACTACTGTTTTTGACTTACAGATCAAACTCATATGTTATTTTTATGGAAGCCATAGTGGGCTATGACCTAGTTAAATCTCGGAAATCATAATTCTTTAAGCACGTCGATTTTTTCATAACATACTATTTTCATTGGATAAGCCAGTGATATTTAAGTAGTTACGTGTCTGCGGTAAAGTCACGATGTCATTGTTTTCTCTAATCTAAAATTACATCACTTACTAGAGTTAAGTAAGTTTACGCGTTTGAAATGAAACGAAATGGAATAATGAAGCTTTAAGTGAATCCAAAACAATTGTTTAAGAATAACGCGAATTTCACACAAAACACTTAAGATAGGAATAATTACTTAACAAATAAATAATACAAAAAATAGTAACCTCATTTAAAAAGCCTTTTTATAATAATATGCTTTCTCTAATATGCATAGTTTTCTTCGGACTCGGAACATTCTTTATAGCCGCATTTATAATATTCATCTGGAATCGTGTTACGAACAGGCTAATCCTCTAAATATCCAGTTCCAATGTATAGTGATCAATATTTATCATCCTTACCCGACTATTAGTTTCAATATAGTAATAATTTATTCACACAATCAATAAATGTACTTTCTTCCAGTAAATTAATATTTATTAGATATCGCAGTTGTAAAGCTGACCTACTTGGATTGGATGATTGGAAAATATTTTTTATTTAAAAAGTCGGTAGATACATATGGCTTTGTCAACACCAATTTGATAAGGAAACTACATTAATTACGTACAAAATTAAAATACTGATTTATCAATAAAGTAGTTGAAAAGTTTAGATTTGAAATTAAATTTCTTATTTTTAAATACTGAATTTAGGAGAATTTAGACAGTGTTAGATTATTTATAACTATAAATAAGTTAGGATTAATATTTGATATACACTTTTACACTTTCTACAAACCCACATGCAACTGTTTATTTTGTCATAGACAGTGGGAAATTATTTAGGAAATTTATATTACAGATATCAAAATTAACTGAAAATAGAGTTAAATAGCAGTTAGTGTACATAAGTTTGATAATAAATTCTAAAAGCTCGTTAACATAAACTCGATGGAAATTAAGATAACATTTATTAATTTATTTTAGCCATTTGTCATTCCTATAAATGATGGTACCTATTTATTTATGTTAATGAATATAGTAAATTCAAGTTTAAGCATAACGTATCTATCATGAAAAGCTCTAAATGGATTGGGTTTGTAGTTAGACATATTAATTGATCGTTTACTATAGGGGGTGTAGTCAATAAAATAGCATAGTTGTTACGAAATAATCTTGACACAAAATGTGATATTTCGGCCAACTACCTATACGTTAATCCAAAGCTTTTTATATGCAAATTACTGGGTTGTTTTTTTTAAATAATACTAAATATATAATAATAAATACACAAATTCACTGAATTTGTATATTTATTTAATTAAGTCATCAACACAGATTTCATTTCAATCAATGACCATTTTCGCGTATAATTTTGTCAAACAGCACCGATTTTCATAAAAATTTGGATTTAGGTTCTACTTTCCCTCTACTTCAAAGTTGACCCTGTACCGCAGGTTGCTTTTACCCGGAGGTGAAAAATGTTTCATTGAAAATATCTCGGGAATGGATATATTTACTAATTCTAAGCAACTTTTGTTCTATAAAGTCTGGAAGTCAATACTTTTCGACTTATTCGCGAGTGAAAATGTAAATTTTTTAACCAAAAAAAAAACACTTTCAAACGGTTTTTTGCGAATAACTCAAAAAGTTAATATTTTATTAAAGAAATCATTCTTATAAAAAACGTAACTTATAAAAAATAAAAAGAATGGTGTCTGTAAACCATATATAAGGGGAGTAATAGCATGTTGAAGGTTGGTTCTTATTTGTCAAACGCCAAAACTAAAAGTTTGAACGTGAAATAACAAAAAACCAATGCATTTTTCAGGGAATACTCATAGAACCTTCTTTTAAAGTGCTTGAAAAAAACCTTTATTTTTATTTTTTTATAAAAGTCCTTAGCATCAAACCTAAGCGAGTTATGACGAAAAAAAGTTGGTCCGTATTTTTTTCGGCGTCAAAAAACGTGAAAATCACCCCCTAATTACCACCCCAATTGAAAATAATCGTTACCACTTTACAATTTACTTTATTTATGTTTGTAATATGCTCTAGAAATTTGACCGGTTTAAAGTGCTTAGTTTTGAAAAAAGTTGGGCTTGAAGTGAAAAGAGAATTTTTGTATTTTTGGAAAAGATTCTCTTTTCTTCAAAAAATAATTCAAAAACTATTAATGATTAAAGTTTGCATATGTTGGTAAATAGCAACTTGTTCAAGCCCTTTCTACTCAAACCGTTACAAAAATAAGGGCTGAAAGAAAATTTAACTTGATCTTATAGCCCTTGAAATAACCTACAAAATGCTTTTTTGAAGGGCTTGAAAGCATAAAAACTAAGCAAATTATGGGTAAAATACCAATCACATATTTTTGCAGATATCAAAACACGTATATTGAAGCACTGATGAATACACATTATAGCTATATTTTAGGAATAGAAATAGGAATTTTAGGACTAGAATAGAAAAGAAAGACGAGAGTAAGAGGATTTTTGAATATCTATTTATGTTATTTGCAATAAAAAAAAATTTTGTTATAAAAATAAAAATCTTATTTTCTCTATTTTTGATTGCAAATTTTAATGAGTAGGGGTTTTTTTAAGGTTTGAAAATAAATAAATACATTACATTTTAAATAATAAAAAGATTGTATTATATTTTGAACTAAAAAATATTTTTAACTATAATTGTTCGATTTTTTTTGCAAGGGATGGTTTTTATAAGGGTTGAAACTTATAAATAAATACATAATAAAAAATTAAAACAGTAAAGAAATCTTAATTTAATATCACTATATGATTAAATTATGCTGAATAATATTTTTCAACATTATTTTTTAATGATTACTGTCATAGGGGGTGGTTTTCGGGGATTGAGAATGTTCAATTCATCATAATTAGTTATTTAAAGATGATTTCAACCTATCTACAATTCTATAATTATTTTCGAATATAGGTAGTTTTCACCCCTAAAAAATAAAAAGCAACCCCCGGCACAGGGTCAACTTTGAAGTAGGGGGTAAGTAGAACCTAAATCCAAAATTTGGTGCAAATCGGTGTTGTTTGGGAAAATTATACAATAACGCCGGATTTTACCTTCAATGACTGGACTAAATACTTTTTAAGTTGCAACTGAAATAACTTTAGTTTAAAGGGATTCTATCAATTATCCATCATTTAAAGACATATATATCGCTTCAAAGAGCTAGTAATTGAAAATCTATTCACCTGTCTTGTTGAAATATGTAAAAAGTAACATTTTGTTCATTTCTGGAATTAAAAATGAATTCTCTGTCATTAAGAGAACGTGTTTTATAAAACATAAATTTCATTGTGACAACAAAATATACTTTTATGGATTTTTATGACCCAACATTATGTTACATATGCAGTAATTAGGGTACTAAAAGTTATTTATCTGTGATAAATTTTAAAGTAGGTACCTTAATATAGTTAGTAAAATGTCACTACTTACCGAGAGGGTATTTCTTTTGAATTTTTTTTTAAATTCTTGCCATTGTTCAAGAACCGTTAGAGATATTGGACTAAGAATTTAGGGATCGAATTTCTTTTTTTACATCATAATATTTAATAAAAACAGCCACAAGATTACCATTTAAAAAGTTGAGCACAGTTTTGTAATTCTCTATGACGTCACTAGAGACCCCTTCCAGTTATTAGAAAATCATTTACATGTCGCAATTTATCGTCTTTTAAAATGGATTTCCCTAAATTTTTAATTTAATATCTCTAACAGTTCATGAGAAATCGCAAAAAATTGAAAAAAAATCCAGACAGCTCCTTTTATTTCGGTAATTATTAACATTTTAAGTAAGGCATGTTTTGCTTAATTTTTTTATTTTGACGTCTTGTGCTGCCCCCCATGCCATTCTTAATGAACACCCCGTATAGAGAATACTGCTTCAATTAACTTTAAATCATAGTCAAAGAAGACCAATAATATACAGGGTGTTTCTAAAATAACTAACTTCTGCTGCGTTTATAACTCATTAAAATAAGCCAAAAAGTTCCTATTAATATGTGCCCTAAAACGCACCCTTAAAAGGGCTCAAACTGGCTTTTTTCTGTTATTGATAAAACGGTCGCAAATAAATAGAAAAAAAATTATGGGTCTTACATAACTTTACGTTAAATAATATGGGCTACTTCGTTTTTCGACATGCAAATCATATGCGTCCCATTTAGGTTGGTTTAGGGGGTTTTCGGACCGTAATTTTTTTTATTTCAATTTTTTTACAATTTTCTCCACAGATTTATAAAATCTTAACAAAAAATATTATCTTTGTCCAAATCGATATTTCCAATGGTTTTCGAGTAAATTGAGTTTGAAAATTACTCTGCTCTTTAAGTTATTAGGCCAAAAATTACAAAAATCTGTTTACCATGGCAAATAAAAGACTGACGTTGCCACAACGCTTAACAATTTAAGTTATTGATAAACTGTCAATTGAGCTTTGCAGTGTTTAATTTATTTATTAAATGATCGGATCCTTCATAACTGCAATTTATTTGAAAAAAAAAACAGTTTTGTTTGAGCCCTTTTAAGGGCATATAACTTCCTAAGGGTGTTTTAGGGCACATGTTAATAGGAACTTTTTGGCTTATTTTAATGAGTTATAAACGCAGCAGAAGTTTGGAATCCTATTTTAGAAACACCCTGTATAAATCATGTACCAAATTTGGTTCTTCTGCGGGGAAGTGTTGAAGAGATATAAATTTTTTCGAAATTTAGGGCCCCAATTTGGGGGCTAATAACTCCTCAGGGGTGCAACTTTGTATATAGGTAAGTTTGGTTAAATTACAATATTTTGGAGACCACTACATGCACCTGTCTTATGTCGGTTCTTATGCGGGACACCCTGTATATCATTTCATAATAGTATTTTCCTGTGGAGATAGTGAAACATGAAAACAGTTCAGGGTGTTTGGAAATGTAAGACTGTACGACTTGCTGCTATTATTTTCATTGTTATGCCTTCAGTATACGAAGCGCAATGTATTTAATAACGCAGAATTGATTACATATTCTTCACTCACCTGATATAACATATTTCTAACAGTTGCTTCTGGAAAAGGCACTCTTCGGTCCTTGATGAGCTGATATAAGTTTTCTTGCATGTACTCAAATACAAAATATAACACATCGTTCTCACGGATAACTTCCTTTAACTTGACAACATTCGAATGATGTAATTTCTTTAAAGACTGAAATAAAAAGTTGTAATTATCACCTACGAGATGTTTTCCAAATAGGTATCGTAAGTTTATAGGGTTATTTTTTAATAATTTGAAATCCAAAAGCCCTGGTTTTCGTGGTTCAGTGTTGAAACTTTTATTTTATTCGACATTTATGGATATAATTAGCGCCCTGAATAAAGGCAGTATGTATTATAAATCTAAATCGCCGAAACGAAATCAATCTGACTAGAAAAGAAGTCCAGATCATCAAACAACTGACAAAAAGTGAATATAATATTATATTTCCTGCTTATAAAGGAAACACAAGTGTTATATTGGGAATAACTCAGAACATCATTACTTGATTACCTTTTAACTTACAGACAGATCAAATAGTAACTAATTGCATTTGGATCAGCCACTCACCCACTCAGGTATGTTTCACACAAAATTGAAGATGTATAGGGAAAGATAGAGCACCATGTCAAAAGCACTGAAGATTTTATCGACAAGATCAAGAAGATCCAACTAGAATCAAATGATACCTACTGAGCTCTGACATGACGTCATTGTCCACAAAAGTTCCAATTAAAGGCTCGTAGTATAGAAAACAAAGATGATAATTTAGTAGACCTTGAAAAGAAGACCCTGGAGTCAGCTACTCTAAAACCAAAGATTCAAATGTTTTGACGATATATTTACCACATTTAGGAGCACATTTTTACAAGACGAGATTCAGAGAGCGTTTTACTCCAAGGCCACTCGTGGTATGCGGCAAAGCATTAATTTGACAGTGCAATACGGCACTGGTATGACGAGAAAAGATAATATTATGAATTACTTGACCTTGAATCATAGTTGTGATAACTACTGAATTGATTAAAATTCCAAAAACTGAGACATCATTGAGAATCATCTCGTGTTGCAATTAACAAAAAATCTTCAATTATCTTCAAAATGTCTACTGGTAATTGAACTTTGCATGCAACCTTTACTTTTAAGATATAATTATTGTTGATTAACATTTCCCGTAAAAAAATCTGTTTATCATACCAATAATAAATCTCTTGCTTCACCAGTAGTATATAATTGCTTTGAATACTTTATGTAGGTTACATTTTCATAAGTATCAACAATCTCCTTCTACTCAGTAAATTATAAGGTTGCATGCATAAGCCTGATAAGAATTCATTGGCCTATTTTAATCTAGGATGAAAGCAAAATAAATTTCTCTACGGCTAGCTTATATATGTAAATTTCCTACCACGAATGCACGCATAGTTTCATATTATTTATGTTTACGTCTCTTTTAAAATTACATTAATTATCATAATGGTAGGATAATACGGATATTAATAAGTTGTACGAGTATAAACTATGGTTTTCATTAATTTGTTGTAGATTAGTTTATTATTAACTAAATGACACAACAAGTGGATGACTAAAAACGTTATTTAGAAATATTATTAGCCCCACTTTCCTTTTTTTTCGAAGATTAATTTCACACTATAGTCCTTTAAATTTACTGACATATGCCAAAAAGAGATATTTTTTGAAATGAAAGAAGTAAAATAGTATTGACAGTATGAATAAAAATACCTCGATCAATTATTCCAACTGTTTCGCTATCGCGGAAGAGTTTTGTTAATAAATTTTGAAAAAAATAGTCTGTGGTCCTGCATAAAGTCCTTTAATTCGCGACCACTGAATGAATGAATTAGCATAAAATTAAACATGAACAAAAAATGCTATTGAAATTACTATGTATTTCATATACCACATTAAGGCAAAAAATAACCTCAGAACTTTGAGAATTGACTAGCAGGCAGAAAACACCTAAAATAATAACTTTTCCAAATAGCTTTTACCCTGGAGAAGATCTTCCATGGATACAATTCTAATAAAATGTAGAAACTGAGCTCAGATACGAATATCCCTACATACTGGGATGCTTCCTTCCATCCTCACATATTTGCATACATACCTAATGTAAATATTTGAAACTTTTAACACCCTGTATCTCCGTAGGGAAGCGTCTTATCGAAAATTTGTTATAACTACGGCTGAGAAAACTAATAACCCAAATATCACATTTACCATAAATACAATCTTCTATTGGGAAAATCCGTTACTTTTTTTAACGATACTGACCATTAGTTATAAATTTAGGGATAATGTATTTAGTTTTTTCGACTCTCTTGCTAGTGCCAACAAAAACGAACCCTTTTTGACTTTTTTTGTTTCCTATTTCTTTTTATGGATGTAAATTCTGTCTACAAATTCATTAATGATTACTGGAGGACCCTACACCCTGGAAAGATGGAGCTTGGTATGGTTTACACTGGTATGACTCCACAACGATCAGGCGGATAATAAGAAATATATGGACTCAGACTCAGACCCAGATGGAGTGCAAGCTACAGTCTGGGGACCTTTCCCACTGTATTTCAAGCAGATATTTTCACGATAATGGTGTGTTTAGGACAGTAAACACAAAGTAGGTTCAAAACTTATGTAGGAATGTTTACAAATGCTTTAGATTGGGTTGGGTGCCAGGACACAAAGGCATCAATGGAAGTCAAAAGCCATGCGAAGGAACTTATGGAATGCTCTTTGCAAAAAAGTACGAATGAGTAGCTGAACTTGAATAAAATTCGGTTCAGGAAAGTCGCGGGACTTATAACGATAGTGTCACTTTAGGAAACATCTATAGAAGCTAAAGCTTGTAGATAGTCCGGTCTGTCGAGGATGTGACTCTCTGTACATTCTGGGGAAGTAAGTACCCACGATTTACACGTAATAGAATGAAGCTCCTGGGAAAAGCCTTTCTGGAGCTTAAGGAGCTGAGAAAAGTGTCGGCAGGGAAGCACCACAGATACAAGAAGAACAAGAAGTAGAGGAGCCTGTTATTACTGAAATATACATTTTAAAATGGAATCTAATACAGATTACTACAATTTATAAAATTATTTTCTATCGGACCAATAATAAGATGTGAGTTTGGAAATGTAGTTCTGATTAACAATGCGCAGGATGTAGAAATGGTATCATAGAATTATGTGAAAACCATTTGGACCACTTAAGTCAATTGATAAGAAGAAAAGTTGAGGCATGTGAATGAGTTACCTGCAACATATGTAATTCAATTTGGCTTAAGATGTCAAAATAAACATTGTTACACTGAAGGAAACCGGCCAACAAAACAGTTTTGCTAAGATAATCTGTATTATTGATTTGCTAACACGAATTTATTATCTGAAGATGATTTACTGGAACAAGAGGTCACCTTTTTACGGTGTTCTTTTTCTAGCATTTTTTTTACTAAAGGTAAGTAAAGATAACTTAGTTGAGGCCTACCTATTAACGGTTAAAAAAAATAATTTGCCTATGACTAGTACAGTACAGTGCAGTAGGTACCACAGTAGCTAGATATTTTTTTTTTGGTGCGTAGTAATTATAGTTGATACGCATTTTTAATCTAAAACTTGCCAAACAACTTTTTAACTACTAATATGTTCCTGCAGCAAAATATCTTTTATTATGACAACAGCATGGTCAAATCCTTTTATATTTTTCTTGTGCACCCACAAAACTATTTTAAATTTTGCTCATTTTGGTTTGTGCAAAATAAAAAAGATATTTGGGAGTACCGAAAACTTACAATAAATTGAAGATTGATTGAACGAAATCTCTTGTTATTATGTGTGGGTCAATAGCACTAAAAATATTAACCCTATTTCAATGACATTTATTTCGATACGTCATATGTCAAAGGTGTAAATCAAATTTTTTTACATACTTTAACTTCTCGCAAATTCATAGCTTCATCCCAAGAGTAGTATTTCCTCTTCATTCTCTTAATGGCGACTTTTTCTCCCGTATCCTTTCTCTGGCCTAGGACGACGGAACCGTAGGTCCCATCTCCCAACTGATGAAGAATAGTGTAACGATTCATATTAAAAGTAATCACTACGTGTGTTAACCCATAGTTATTTCACCCTGGTTACTTTGCACTAAGTTGTAAATGTCTGTTGACACATTGTATTTATTTGCTGTGTACTAGCCTAGGAACATGAATCGACTGAGAAATAATGTGGTACCTGTACCGCCGTCCTTCTAATTATTGATTATTTCGCGACGTTATATATTCTCCTTTCCATGCGGATAGGGTGTCTGTCGAAGGCCCCTATGAAACTATCTAAGTCCCAACTGTTTGGTTACGGCGTACACAATAATTGTCATGCTTCGCTGCAAAGATATTATCTGCTATTCTTATATTTTTAACAAAGCATTGTCCATTTTTACCGTTTTGTTTACTATTAATTGTTGTCATATCAACCTCACAATAGAAATTGTTGTTATAGCTTTATCAAATTCATCTTTGCTTATATTTTTAGTATAATCATTAATAATAAAACTTCATTAAGTTACTACATTTATCAGAGCTAAGTAAATCTTTTGCATAGAAGATACTGGCCCTACTATTAAGGTCCTTTGTCTTTTTCTATCTTCTTAATAATATGGGTTTAGTCAAACTGGAATGCAAAGAGGTACTTTTAAGTGAAGATTGGGATAATATTTGATAATGCCTCTTTAAATGCCATCATGAACTTGCTGGAGGTAGATAGATTGCATCCTTTGGAGAAGATTAGTTTACGCGTTCCAAATAAAAGATACTGTCATGGGCAGGCTAAATTTCATATGGCACATATTACATATGGTATCCTGGGACAGAAGATTTAGTCATTCCTGCTGAGAGTAAATTCAACAATATAGCAAAGGAAGAGGTGGGGAAAGTTTTGAATATTATCCGAAGATGGAGAAGAACCATAGCAGTATTTTTCAGAGCAGAAAACTATAAGATTATACTTTTGTTAGAGCTACAAATAATATGTAATTTTTTTACTTTTTTCTAAGCTATTAAATCATAAAAAATATTTTTTCAGCGTTCGAACAGAACTTTGATATATTTTAGAATTCATAGGTACCTAACATATTTAGTAATTAAATTTTACAAATCCAAAGAAAAATGTTTCTTTAGTTTGGTATTGTGATAACAGTGATTATAATAAATTTAATCGATTTTCTTCTTCTTTCATATTCTCTGGACATTTAATTTTCGGACAGCACCTTGGATATGGTTTTAACAAATTTCCTGGCACAACGTAACAAGGAGGTTCAACGGCATGCTTGGCACATCTGAAAAATAACCAAATTCGTGTCATTTCTAGTATTTGTGGACCCACATTTATAGGAAAAGAAAGTCTTATTTTGATCTCAAAAATACGTCCCTAAATTCTTTGTACTGAATTTTGAATCACCCTGTATATATTTATGTACAAAATTTAGTTCAAGAAACTTAACAAAATGTTGTATACTTACACTTAGTTATAAAAGATGCCAAGTGATATTTTTTAAGTACATTTTTTGAACAAATACAGTATTTAATATACCGGGCCCCTAACAAGAACTGAAGACCCTGATAACTTTTCAAGATTGAGCCCTATCAAAAAAGTTTCAGATAAAACTTGTAGAATATAAAGAAATCAAGACGCTGGTGATTTTGGATTTAACTTTGACCTTGAGATCAAGGTCCACTTGAAAATATTAAACGGAATATTCCATTTTTATAACTGCAATTAATAGAATGTTAAATTGGAAGTCATATAATGTTCAAACTCATTTCTCCCTGAACAACTCGATAAAAATGTTCCAAGAGAAATTTGTAGGGTTTTGAATGATAAATTAGATGGTGGCCTTGTCATAAATTAGATGGTGGTCACCATAAGTTGTAAGGTCAGACCAAGGTTAATAATGTCAAATGGAATACGTTACTTTTTATGCTAGCTACTAATATAACGCCAAATTTTATGAAGGAATCTGAGAACAAAAAGCTTTTCTAGGATGACCTTACATGTCGTTTGAAGGTCAAAGTCATTTTCCACAAAAAACAATGGCTATAAGAGTAAAAGAATTTTATAGACGTATTTAACTACAACTACTAGCATGATCTTGAGAACAATTTTGAAATTTAACAGATTGATACGTTAATAATTAAAATTTAATGATAAGGCCTTTCTGAAGGATGATATCTAATTAGCTATTAGATCAAATAATCTAATTTTGTTGAATAATTAAGAGAAAAATGAGTTTGACCTTCAATTGACCTGTAACGACAAACAGTAAAAATTTTCTAATACCACATTCCGACCTAAAATTTGATGCTTGATCAAAAATAAGGTGTCGCATTTAACCATTTTCAAGTTGACCTGAGATTGACCTTGAAACTAAAGATCAAGGTCAAATCCAATATCACCAGCATATTGGTTACTTGATGTACTACAACTTTTATAAGGAAATTTTGTGACGGGAATCAATTCTGAAAAGTATTCGGGAGGTTCGAGTTTAGGTACACCCTGTATGTACACGACGTCTTTAAATTTTTGTCGGTTTCTATAATGCTCTCTACGTTTTTTGATTGAGAAAATATTTTATCCGTGTAGGGAGATTTTTTACCCAGTTTTTTACGCAGAAGCCAATGGCGTGCATGGCATTTTATACCAGCTAATAGGAAACAGTATACGCGGATATTTATACACTGAGTTAAGGGTAATTAATTTAAAATTCCACATTGGTATGTCTAATAAGAATTATAAACATATAGAAATTAACAACACCTAATGATAAACTGATATATCGTACGATTTAATACGATACTTACCCCCATAAACTTATATCTTTATTCTCTAAACATTCTGCAATCAGGCATGAACTTTCTATTCTCTTTTTTTCATATTTTTGTAGCGAGCCAATTTTAAATACGGGAGAATCAGTATAACAATGTCCACCATGATCTATAAACACAAACGAATACAAAAAAGTCAATGAATAAATACATAGTTCTTTATGATGATCTTCCCTGGGAAAACTTATAATTTATAAAATTGTATATAGTTTGCAATTCTGGCGTTTCTAATGAAAATCAATGAATTCTGTATTAGGTATATTTGTTCCTTTAAAATAGAGTGTTTACTATAACTTTACCTATGAACCTACGAACTGATAATACACTTCTATATTCGAATATAATGCTTTTTAAAATTACATAGTGGGCAATGATGGCAACTTTGACATTCTAAGCAGTTAGAAGAAAGAATAAATAATGCTTTTCATCAGATCAGGTTCAAGCAACAAGAAATTTCGAACAAATTACATTTTCGTTACTAAAAAAGACGTCGGGCCTGTGTTCGTGGAAATGGAGGCATTTTTGAGAATTTACTAAAATAAAATTATTTAAATGATGACTAATGTTATTAATTTCTTTATTCGAATAAATACGTATGACTAGTGCTTGTCATGTCATTTAAGTAAAAGTGTTTTCAGTTGGTTTTTTAAGTCTTACCCGAAAATCAGGCTTTTTTCGAAAAACATAAGAGTGTAGTAATTTGTAGAAAATTGAAAGACGAATCCGAAAATATCATGGTTGTTACCGTAAAGCAGTGGCGTACATGTGCCCAATGTCAAATTATTTCACTTGCTAGTTTTTAAATTATTTTAAAAAATTAAAAATATTTTTTTAAGTTTAACACCCTGTATCTTTTTAACGAAGCGTCCTAGATACAAGCTTTATGGGAATGACTCTCTTTAAAATTCACCAAAGAATACGAGGTTTCATTTTTGGTCGCCATTTGTGAATCACCCTGTATATATACATAATAAAATCTGCCACGATTTTAAATCCGTAAAATTCCGTAAACCTATTTGTGCACAATTTTGATGTCTCGCGTCTTCTTCATAAAAAAAATCTACACAGATGAAATAATCTTTATAATTTTGATGGTATCTCGTACAGAAACAGCAGTTTACTAGCGAAAACTCTCGAGTAGAAAATCAAAGCAGACTTGTTACTGAAATCTTACACACGTATTTACTTGTTCATTTTGAGACGCATTTTTACTTACATTTTGTCGCTTCTCAAACAGAAATGGCACTTTACTGTTGAAAAAAAACGGATATTATGAATTTGAAATTGTAACAGATTTGTTTCATTATTAAATAAGGTCGAAACCCAAAACGCTAACAAATGATTATTTTTGTAATTACATAAATTCAAAGTGATATTTTTTAAACGACGACAAAACTATTTAATGATTTTAACATAACAGATGTGTTATTTAATAGTAGTTCGTGTTATTTTTATTTTAGATAATTATTAATTACTAGCTTGTATGCAGTCTTATTTCTTTAACAAATCTACATAATTGCTATCAAAATATACGGGATTAGATAGAATGAATTAGTTTAATATCTTCGAAGTAAATTAGGAGTATACTTTTTACATAAAAAAGGCATTATTTTTTACAAAATCGTTTATTAACGTTTGGTTTCGTTGAGCGAATGTTTTTCTTTTTGCATCGGACATTTGTTTAAAAATCTTTGCATGTGAAAATGGTTTATAGATTTGGATTTCAGATATACCTTTTTTACACTTCGCTAATTTGATAACAATAGGCCTATTCCCTATTCTTCCTGATTACCTATATTTCACGTAAAACATATCATTTGTTCCATTTTGCTGCTTACCTGATTGTCCTTTTTTGTGTTCAATAACTGCTGTCCACGAATAGACGGATGAATATAATGCACAAACAAATAATATAAATAAAACCACTTTCATGATTGGGTATATAACATTGGTATTGTACCCTTAACTGTGTCATTTTATATAGTGAATATTGATAATGATATGATAACCCTTGATACACTTAAATGTTTAATATATTTTGAATAATAAAAGGGTATTATTTATGACTGTTCTACAAACACATATCTAATAATTGTTTATATCTAAATTGCTATATCTGTTGGCAGTAGAGATTTTCATTTAAAAAAATACCGACGCTAATATTATATCACCCTGTAGAAAATCAGATATGTGGAAAAAACAGCAAAGTTGGTGAAAAAAATTTTTTTCTTTTCTTTTTTTAATTGAACGTTTATCGTCAAATAGGTGATTAAAAAAATTAAATGCTTATGTAAGCTGAAAAAAAAAATTCAAATCATTGTTTAACCCCTTTTTGAGCCGCTTCTAACCGTTGACCCACAAAGGTTTATCGAGAGTGAATCTTGGCCTACCTTATTATTCGGTCACTAACGTAGATTTTACTGCATTTGTATAGTATTTGTATAAGGGAAAAAAAGGACCTTTTTACCTAGACACATGAATGAATAAGATATTTTTTTACATTTTAACAAGTAAGTAAGTTTAATTGTTAATAAAAGCAAATGTATAAAGATAATAATTGGTTTCCAATGTTACGTTATTACAATTTAGTATTTTTAATATTGTTAAGGTTTTCACTATGTTTCATAATTTTATAATTGAATATGAGTTTTTAGTATTACGTTCAATTAACTATTCAGTTTGTAGTACGTATATCTAGTGACTTATTGCTTTTCAAAGGGTAGTATGGTACCTACCTATTTAAAATGTCAGTACGTCTAAAACGACACTCATTCGTCCATAATACTTTGTTAATAAAGTTGGGATCTGCTGCACTTTGATTTTGAAACCGATTTCAAAATTCAACACGACTGGGGAAATCAGCTGTTTCGCTTCAACATTCGACTGCTTTGTAGTCATAAAATGTGTTACCACGTAGAGTCCCGATTTAACGGGAGTTAAGGGGTAATATGCTTATTTTTCAAAAAGTCTAGTTTTTTTAGATTTTCTCTCTTAGTTAGGCTTTCCGAATACGCTCTTAAAATTGACATTATGACTGAATCACCCTGTATATCCTTTAGTATTCATTGGTAATATATTTAGCAAAGAAATTTCACAAAAATAAACAGTTTTCTTATGATGTTATTTAACAACGATTATAATGAATTTAGTCGATTTTCTTCCTGCTTTATATTCTCTGGACATTTAACTTCAAAACAACACTCTGGATACGGTTTTGACAAATTTCCGGGCACAACATAACAAGGAGGTTCTACGGTATACACGCCACATCTGAAAAAATAATCAAATTGATTTTATTTCTAATACAAGATTTTGAATAAAAATTAAGCATGCTTTTCAAGAATATTCAAATTACAAGTAAAAAAATTAAATAAACTTCCTGCAAAAAAAATTAGCACGTGTTCTATTTTTCTGCCCTCCTTACCTATTGATCTTTCTTTATAGGAACTAATTTTCTTGCTACTTTAAAGCAATATAAATTTTAAAATAAATTTACTTGCATTTTGAAGATATAAATCAAACTTTTATTCTTTTTTTAATAGGACAGCATAAATATCTGTAATTTTTTCGATTCCTCTCTTCTGATTATAATGTGATGAGTGATATGCATGCTATACAGGGTGTTAAAAAAAGAGTGTAAAATATTTCAGGAGGTAATAGTATAAACCAAAATAAGTAGAAAAGTCTTAATAAACATGGGTCCGCAAAGTAACGGTTGCGGAGATATGGACCACTATTCGTTTTTCAAACATTTTATTTTATTAGGTTAAACCGACAAAGGAAGCTTTTAACAAACAAAAAACAAAGTTACAGAAGATGTTCAAAGTGCCCTCCGTCCATTTCCAAGCAGGCACGACATCTTCGTCTCAACGATATTCGAACTCTTTCGAAAACACCCTCCTTGGTTTGGATTTCTTGACACTTTTGATAAATCCGTAGCTGCAGCTCTTCCAGGCTATTTACAGGAGTACCATACACTAATGTCTTCAAATATCCCCAAACAAAGAAATCTAGAGGGTTCAGATCAGGCGATCTTAGAGGCCATAAAACAGGTCCATGCCCATCTATGTGGAAAAGTTTGGTGTAAATGCTCTCTAACGGCCATGGAAAAATGAGCTGGAGCACCATCATGCTGGAACCACATTTGTTGCCTCTGATTCAAAGGAATGTCTTCCAAAAACTCATACAGTGTGTTCTGCAGAAAGTTGAGGTAAGCAGCACCTGTTAATCGGTTTGGTAAAACAACAGGACCTAGAAACCTACAATACCCATCCAAATGTTTAATGAAAAACGTGCCTGATGTCCTGATTCTATTAGAACATCTTCTGTAACTTTGTTTTTTGTTTGTTTGTCGGTTTATTCCTAATAAAATAAAATGTTTGAAAAACGAATAGTGGTCCATATCTCCGCAACCGTTACTTTGCGGACCCATGTTTATCGAGACTTTTCTGCTTATTTTGGTTCATACTATTAACTCCTTAAATATTTTACACTCTTTTTTTAACACCCTGTATATTTGCTCTGATATAGTCAAGGTTGCCATAGAACTACTGCGTAGATATGTTTTCCACTGTTAAATTTACTACAAATCTATAAATTCTCTATTAAGGAAATTATTTTATAAAAGTTCTTTTATAAAACTAAACTACAAGCCCATCGGAAATTTTCAAGGGGTCATTTGACCCAGCATCAATTACTTATAAATCAATACTACCACATATAACAATAACTTCAGAAACAATGCCGTCAATTTTTGTTGGTACAGGTAAGCTAAACCTGTCCACCAAGGGGGATGGTTTTCCGCAAAACATTTTTGTACGGCATTTCTAAAGAATATAGGTTATACAAAAAAAATGAACCTCGACCTAATCCCGTACAAAAATAGCAATACCGGAAGCCATAGAAAGGCCGTAAATAATTTGTATTAAGGAGAAAGTACTAGTAAAAATAAAATCAATTCTTGCAAGTAATACTTATTTGCAAAAATATATTTAAAGCCATTTAGAACCATTTTTTTTGGACGGCATTTTCTTTTTGTTGATTATTGTTGTCAGTATTAGCAAAATATATTAATGCCGTACAAAAATTTGCCTCGTGAAATCCTACTTTTCAGAGGGAAATTAATTTTCCTATAGTAAGCACGTTTCATGAAAAATGTACGACATGGCCAAAAATGTCATTATTTAATAAAATAGAATTAAAATTAGTGAATTTGATGTTCGTTCAAATCACCCCCCATGCGCTACTTACAAATAGAGGGTTGCGCATTTCTAACCCCTGGATCAGCAAATACGTACGGCGCAACTAAAAAAGTTATCTACGTATCTATCCGAAACTTGCAGTATAAATGCCGTACTGTAGTAAACCACCGGGCCAAAATTTTCAGAAAATCAAAAATGTTCCTATCTTCCGGTATTGCTATTTTCGTACGGCATTAAGTAGAGGTTCATTTTTTGTTGTGTTACCTATATACTTTAGAATTGCCGTACAAAAATGTTTTGCCGAAAACCACCCCCTTGGTGGACAGGTTTAACTTACCTGTGTACTCATACCTGTACCAACAAAAATTGACGGTATAGTTTCTAAAGTTATTGTTTCATGTGGTAGTATTGATTTATAAGTAATTCATGCTGCTGGGTCGAATGACCCCTTGAAAATTTCCGATGGGCTTGTAGTCTATACCTTCTAGGCAAAGAACATGATTGTATGTACTAGTCTTTGCAATTTTTTAGTGCCTTATTACCCGCCTTATTAATAATACTAGTTTATCCATCAATATTTTCTCCCTTAAATCGATAATATCAGCAATAGAAAGAATTTCATTGACTGGTCTCGTGGATCATGAAGTGATGCTTTTATAAGATTTATTTAAAAATAATTCTTTGTCTTGAACACGATAAGGTTATTATGAAACATCTATTTTTTTCAGAATATGTGAAGTATTTAATGATCTGTTCAGTATATTTAATATAGGAACAACTTAAAGAATATGCACTGGTGATATGGCAACCTTGACTTTATGCACTGTGAGGGTCAATAAATAAATCAAAATATTTGCACAATATTGTAATCAGAATATTGGTAATTTGTTTTAATATTAAACCTTATAGGATGGTATTGTTCGCAGTTATTTATTTCTGGCTGTTTTTCAATTAATTATAATATATTTACTCCATATCGAAAGGAAAATAAATTTTAAATAAAATGTTTTAGGAACGAAAACGAGAAAGTTTCGAAACGTTGATAAATTGATATATATGTACTTACCCCAATATACTTATATCTTTACTTTCTAAACATTCTGCATTGGCACATAAACCTTGTATTCTCTTTTCTTCAAATTTTTTTAGTGCCCCAATTTTGTAAGAATCAGTATAGCAATGTCCTCCATGATCTAAACACAAACGAATACAAAAAAAATTATGAGTAACTTAATGATCTTCCTCGATAAAACAGATAATTGGAAAATTATTGGGTAAAAATACATGTGCAGTTTCTTCAGGCATGGAGAAAAATAACTATAAACCTCTTTCTTGATTCAGAGCTGTTGATATTATACAGGAATGGCCAGAAGTACGAAATAAAATTAATATCTTTTGAATGAGTTAATTTTTTTTTAAACGCCGAAACACGTTAACTGATTTTGATTTTTTCCCATCTTTCGGTTATACAATAATTAATTTTTCTTCAACCCCGTAACCCCCAGCTACCCCTACTTCTTTTTTCAAATGGAAACATAAGGCACGAGGGGGCTCGTTGAAAAGCTTATAGAAAACCGTATCCAGCCATACCAAATAAACAAGTTTTATTTTTTCAATAGCAAGGTTTTTAGGGTTGTATAAAACACCTACTTAACAAGTGAAATAAAATTTAATTATCTTCAGTGTTATCCTCCATGAATTTGCACAGAATAAAATAAAGAATTTGAAACTGTACCTATCACTGCTAACGCAAAAAAGATATATTTTTTATGTTGCGTTTTTTTGGCACCACTTACTTGCCAGGCTTTCTGGTTAATTTTTCGCTTTAGTTGTAAATTGGAGTTCGAAACGTTACTATTGTGTCAAAATCAAGTTATTTACTGAATTGCAATGGTATTGTCGGAAAGGCAACGCATCGAAATCTTGATATTGCTTGGATGTGGAGACAAAATAAGAAGTCAGGCTGAAGTGCGCGATTTATTTAATGCGAAATATCCCGAAAACCAAATCTCGCAAGGGACAGTTAGTAAAATATTTCACAAATTTGAGGAACACGGTACAGTACAGACTTTGCCCAAAACTGGACGGGCACGTGCTTTGAATGAAGAAAAGAAATTAGACATTGCATTAGAACTTGTTGAAAATCCTCATACTTCAACTGTTTCATTGGCCCGCAATCACGATGCTTCTCGAACTGCAATTCGAATGTTTCTGAAACAAGAGAAATACCACCCCTATAAGGTATGTCTTGTCCAAGAGCTTTTGGAAGACGATTATGATAGGCGATTACAATTTTGTGAAGAAATGATGAGACGGTGTGACGACAATAATGGTTTTCAACGAGACGTACTTTTTTCGGATGAAGCTACGTTTTATTTAAATGGAGTGGTTAACAGGCACAACTATCGCTTTTGGTCCCAGGAAAATCCACACTGGACATGCGAATCGCATACGCAGCATCCACAAAAAGTTAATGTATGGGCAGGTATCATCAACAACAGAATCTTGGGCCCATTCTTTTTTGAAGAAAATCTTACTGCCGCACGCTACCTGGATTTCCTAACATTTGACCTGATACCTGCTCTAGCTGTGATTTTCCCTCATGAAATTGATCCAGATATACCGAATGAAAGAATTTGGTTCCAACAAGATGGCGCTCCCCCACATTTTGGTATTGATGTTCGAAGATACTTAGATGAAATGTTTCCAAATCGCTGGATTGGTAGACGGGGTACAGTTGAATGGCCGCCAAGATCCCCCGACTTAACACCCCTGGATTATTTTCTTTGGGGATATTTGAAAGAAAGAGTCTACCAGGACAGACCGGATAATATTGAGAATTTAAAGAACAAGATTAGGGCGGAGATGCATAATTTACCAGCTGAAGTCATTCAGAATGCTGTGGACAGCTTTTACTATCGTCTTGGAGAATGCCAAATAGTGAATGGAGGACATTTTCAGCATTTGCGACATTGAGTTTATTTTTGTAAATTATCTAGTTGTTTCAATTTCTAAATGAAAAAAAACTTGTTATTGAAAAAATAAAACTTGTTTATTTGGTATGGCTGGATTCGGTTTTCTATAAGCTTTTCAACGAGCCCCCTCATGCCTTATGTTTCCATTTGAAAAAAAAGTAGGGGTAGGTGGGGGTTAGGGGGTTGAAGAAAAATTAATTATTATATAACCGAAAGATGGGAAAAAATCAAAATCAGTTAACGTGTTTCGTCGTTTTAAAAAAAAAAATAACTCTTTCAAAAGATATGAATTTTATTCCGTACTTCTGGCCATCCCTGTATAATACATTTTCATGGTTTGAAGATAAGTGAATTTAAATTTAAAGCAGTAAAATATGTTAAAACATATATGTTTGTTATTAGTGCCTACTATTTGGATAGAATTTATTATTTTATTTCTATTTTAGTTATTAATTAATTCTGTCTCATTTCTTGAATATGTATTTGCTACCAAAAAAATATATCTATATGACATAATTTAATAATAATGTTAGGAAAATTTTTAGTCAGTTAAAATTAATTAATACTGAATATCTTCAAAAAGTATATATTTTGCATAAAAAATTGTAATCTTTTCGATTTCCTAATAAAATCTAAAGATCTATTGAAATAAAAAGTTATGTAAAAATGAACCCCGGAACTTCTGAAAAGTAAATACCCCTACCTATGTTTCACCCTAACAATTTGATCTACATACAAACGTACAAGAACATATATGAAATTATTTAAAATTGTTAAAAACGGTTTGCAAGTAACTATTTGTGTTTTATACAAATTGATCTGTGTTTTTTGTTTTCCATTGAGGCCGAAAAACAAAATGTTTTAAATATAAATATTTGCCCGCAATTAATTAAACATGAGCAAATTCAAAGCGTTGCAATTTTAAATTTTCAATTAAAGTTTCGATATCAGTGAGTCAGTTCAGTCAGTGAGTGTAATTCTCAAAAAATCATAATTATGCTTCTTCACTTATTTTCTACTCTCTCAAAAAATTTCCAGAATGATTGTTGTTCATCTTATATTTCTCCTTAAATTCAGAAATATGTAGCATGCAAAAATTTATATCATAATAATAATAATTTATATATAAAAATAATATTAATGATATCATTTGTTCCACTTTGCTGCTTACCTGATTGGCCTTTTTTATGCGGAATAATTGCTGTCCACGAATAGACAGATATATACGAAGCACAAAAAAATAATATAAATAAAGCCACCTTCATGTTTGGGTATGTAACACTGTTACTGTTTTCTTAACTAACTGTGGCATTATATTCAATATTGACAATTTCATGATAACCCTTGATACACTTAAATGTTTAACATAATTTGAATAATAAAAGTGTATTATCTATGATTATTCCGCAAGTGCAAATACATAGATAATATATAATAGGTACCTATTGTGTATATTTAAATTACTATACACTATACCTACCTACATACTAAGCTCAGGTACATAGATCATTTTTTTAAATTTACTGATGCTAAGCTGATATCACCCTGTATAAAACAACAAAGTTATTATAAAATCTTTTTCCTTTTTTTTAATTGGGCTTTCTGGAAAAATATACATACAGGGTGTATTTTTTTAATTTATTATTTTTTTAATTTAGTAGAGGTATTACCAGAGAATGATACCTACATACAGAAGTGCAACTCTCGTAGAAATCCGCGTTGTTCTAATCTAATGGAATCAAATTATGGACCTTCAAGCCATATTTTTGGCAGCAACCAGTAGCAACGAAATTTAAAACAGAACGAAGTCAAAATTGTACAGTTTACTGCGTGTGGTTAATAAACTGTATTGAAATAAATAATTCAGTAACATTTACCCACAACATCAAAAAATTTTGACATTAGATTTAAACAAAGTTGCATTTATTTTAATTATGTAGTTTAACTGTGTAAGGACATTGCAAGTTTGATAGAATATTTCGTGTCAATGCTTTAACTAGAAAGTTTATTGGAAGAGAACCACGAAAACCTTTAGCAATATTACAACATATCAACTTACTCCAAATATCTCAATATAGGTAGTTATAAAAAAAATGTTGCAGTGGAATCGAATTGGAATCTAAATAGATTGCTGTAACTTTTCTCTTTTGTCAAAAAAATTCTAACGAAAGTTTCAGTTTAATGTCGATATATTTTTCTTATAAATTGCCATAAATTTAAAAGTACCTATCAATCAATTGGTGGTGCTTTTCTATTTAGTGCTATCACTGGTGTTTGCTGATCGTTATACTGTTATCTTTGCAAGTGGATATAATGATGGAGACAGTCATCCTTTATGATGGATTATAAAGAATGATTACCATTAGTGGTTACTTAAAAATAATAATAAAGAATTCTTTTTATTGGTGATTCGATTTCTGATGACGTCATGTTCTCACACTGCCTTTACTGAAAATGCTATCTTGTTTATGAACGCACCATAGAATACAAATGACGATAACATGACACACGTTAAATTTTGTTTACCACGTCTATGCAATTTAGGTTATGTCGTTTTTGATAGTTATAAATAATTTTTAATTTCAGAATAAGTACAAGAAATTAAAAAGAAATCTATAAACATATCTCAAAAATGGATTCTATGTGAAAGTTGTATTGAAAAATATCGTGCATTTGACGTAAAATAGGTAAATATCCTAAAACCTTAATCCCTTAATTAACTTTTGAATACCAGATTTTTAAAATATTAGGATATATACATAAAAATTGAATGTGTGTGTGTATAAAAATAGTCCGAGTAAAATTTTTATTTTTTTATTAAAAAATTATTCTTTAGGAGTCTGTCTTGTAATTTGTAATTACTAGGTTGTACGTTGATAAAAAATCAGAAATAGATATAAAACCGCTAAGGATGTAAAGCATATTTCAGGAGCAAATAACACTGACTGCTTACCATAAAAAAAATAAACTTTGATAACCACAGAAATATAATCAAATTGCTGTAGACAATTTTGTGAATTAAAAATCATTCCTATAAGTATTGTTCTCTCCACTTAGATATCCAGTTTTCAGCCAGATTCTTCACTTTTAGGATCAATTTCAGTCTCCTGTGATTGTGAAAAGTAGAAAATTAATGCCTTTTTTTGGTTGTCAGTAAACGCATACATCGTAATTAACTTACATATTTGATAGTATTGGGGTGTAATTGTTTTTATATTTGGTCATCAGTTAATGGTAATAGGCAATGACTTCAGCACCTAACCTACTATTTCAGATTGCTTCGACTGAACAGTATTAACAATCTGGCAATTTAATTTTCACTATATTAACAACAGTTCATTATTTTGATCTAATTAAAAATTTTAATATGGTAAATGAAAAATATAACTGTTCCTAAAGGGAAAGCAATACTAGAAAGGGTGACTTCCTTCGATCACTGATCTACAGTGGCGTACCCACCATTTGGTACCCAAAATCGAGAGGCCCCATTGTGAATCCTTTGAAGTAGGTAGTGGTAGTTTTATAATTATATTTCTATGATTATCAATTATCAAGTAATGTGAGTTTTGTATTTCTTAAAATGCTAGTGATTAGGTATAATGTATGTGTTTACAATTTTCATTATTACTGTTTTGGCTCAAAATTTTAGGTTTAGAAAAATGAAGATAAATGAAAAAAATTTGGTTAAGAGGAATGTAGAGAAAAATGTAAAGAAGAACCCTGAGAGTGATAAAAAACATTCTGAAACTGAATCAAAGGGAAAAGATGCTCTGTAAGATTTTATTTATAATTTGCGTGTGGAAGTTCTCTGGTTTCTTTATAAAAAAAGTGTAGTGCTAACTTTACCTAGGCACAATAACATTCTGAGATTGTAGGTGTAGCATCATTAAGGCCGCTGTAGAACAAGTTTTTGTAAGATAGTTACTGACAGTTAAATTTGAGTTTTTAAAAGTAATAAAAAAAGTATGAGATGATGATACGCTTTATTTTTATTTTTTATGTGAACATAAAATAAATATAATAGTCACTCGTTTATATTTGAAAGTACTTACATATAATAATAAGAGAAATAAGTTATAATAAACTAATTTAAATCAAGTTAATTACCTTAGTACAATTTTACTTTCTCAAAGTTGTAGGTCGTAAATAACATTCAATATGAACACAACAGCAACATTTTTTTCTCTATTATGCTATTATATTATGCTACCATATTTGTACGTTAAAATATATGTTTCTAGTAAATATGGTCCTTTACCAAGGTTCCCTGGCCAGAGAGTTTGGACCAGAGGAATATTAATACTGGGTGTATTAATTTACGTTTGGTACTTTTCAAAAAGTTCAAAAGAGACAGTATTGGCTAAACAGAATGATATGTATAACAGAAGAGGTCAGGTTATTGAATGCAGTGAAGAATACTTAGATGACATCAAACAGTATCCAGGATGTATTCCACAAAAGTGTGGGAGGTATGTTAGCGATAAAATTGTTACCGCACACGAAGTCGAAATTTTACTTCAGCTTGCAAACAGAGGTAAGCAACGATGTTATTAAACTCTTTTATTTATATTTTTGAGAAGAACTTACTCTATTAAATTGTCTAGAGTGAGACGTAATAGATAATAAAAATAGTGATATGCCATTTTTCTATTTGTTCATGCAGTTTTATGAAGAAATATATAAAAAATCAAAATCATTTTCAGTTCATTAAGGTTTGTCGCAACATGGACTTTTTGGTATTGTTTTAGTGATGGCTCTTGGGGGCTCGAAAGGAGGAGCAACCATAATGGATCTGCACTCTGGGGCTTTGTCGTTTGATGACAAATTTATCAATGTGTATGCCCAGAAAAAAAATAAAATTTTAACACCGACCGATCTAACAGTATACAAATTAGTCAGAACGAAAATTCAGAATGCTATAGCAGAAACGTTTGGAATAGATGTTGGCAGCTTGTATTTAACTCACCCTACGTTCTTTTCGAAACTTTCTAATTTAACACCTGTTACACCTCACGACGAGTACTGGCACGTCCATATAGACAAAGTAAGTTCATTTTCATTCATAACTAGTACTTAAGTCTCGACCTAAGTTCTGAATATTCATTTACACACAAATAATCATTATATCATATAATAATAATTACACGAAAATGGTGGTTGGTGGAAATTAATGTGTAATATTTTACGAGTGGAACTAGTGAAATTCATTTTTTAGGAAACGAATTGTGCTCAAATTAGAGCAAATTTGTTTTTCTGTGGCTTACTTTGCTTATTTTTAAGTCCATGCTTTTGAGCTTTGTAAAAAGAATATACAACATGCAGTTGACAGGGAAAAGTTTTCTCTCAACTTTAGGACATTATACTCCGCGGTCGAAATTATAAAGAGTGACTAAGACATAATATAAAAAAACTATTACCATAATGCGTATAAAATATAAAATGATTTTTATACGGTTCAATATTATTTATCTTTGTGCCGCTCGCTACGCACATCGATAGAATCTATAATCGTCTAGAGACTGAGTTACACTGAACATCGATCTATATTCTATCTCTGTCTTTTGCACTTGGTAGGGAATAGGGAAATGCTTTTTTAGTGGGTGTAAACGGACTTGATTTAACCCGTCCTGAGAAACGTCATAGTATAAGCGTAGACGAGGGGTCTAATTCCATGGCTATAATAAATTTATAAATTAAAAAAACACAATTGGGACGTTTTAAAATTCTGTAATAATTAAAATGGATCAAAGTGCTTGTTATAGCAAACCGTAAAAAATATTAGATGTTATGTTTTATTATCTTTTTTCATTATTTTCTATATCTTGTTGCCTTTTACGCAGACACGCCAATGGATTTTCGTTCCCGGCACGCTTCATCCCCCTTACTAGTCCAAAAGCTAGCGATGAATCACTCTCTATAATTTCGACCGTGGAGTATATGCAGAATGATTCTGTGATGTTTATTAAATATACACATTTCATTACAATTTATTTATATTTAATATTTTTTTACTTTAATCATCTTGTTATCTTCATTTGTTCAAGAGGTTTGATTTTTTGAAGAGAACATTGAGAAGACATACTGCCACAATTATAATTTTGAAATTGTTTGTTTATTTGAACTCATTTGTTTTGATTTTGACATATGCCAAATATTCTGCCGAATGTCAAATATGTGGTAGTTATCCATCAAATATACCATCTTCAGACTATAGTTTTACTACGGAAGATCACAGTACTATGCTGTTAAAATAAGGAGTGTTTCCAAATGTAACATTTAGAAAGCTGATACTGGTGATGGTTAAAATCAGATATCCAAAGCCAACTCTATAAACAGTTTCAAAATTGTGAACGGCAGTTTAAATTAAAACAAGAAATTTTCAAAGGCAGTATTGAGATAACATGATTATAAGGAAATAAAATGTTAGGAAGGAATCAATCTTTTTAATGAAGCTTACTTAGTAAAGTTAACACCACATAATCATTATCCGCAGTATCTTAAAGTTGAAAACAAAAATAAGGGAGCATTTGTTTCACCTGTACACTGCAAGTTATAAATAATTTTTATTAAATTCCAGATTTAAAAAATTAAAAAAAGATTATCAGGAAGAAAATATCACTCATTAAACTTAATCGAAATTTTGTATAGATGCAACTTCATGTTGTAATTTTACGAAAAATTAACATTTTGTGAAAAATTTAAAATTAATTACGTTTGTTAGCATTATAGTCCAGGGATATGAGGAAAATGCCGTGACTGTTGAGTAGCCAAGGATCTGTAAAGTTTTTCCTAAAATTTGGGTGAATTTGTGCAAAACCCACACACCATCAGGTGAGGTTTTTTAATAATTAACAATAAAATATCTAAAATAACCCAAAATATCACTTTTTTTGCCTACCAGAAAAAAACGATAATTTTTATTTTAATATTAAAGTAACCAACTTGTAGGGAATAAAAAACCTTTAAAATGGCGGTTTATAAAATCCGATACGATAATTTGTTGCTCGAGAAATTGCAAAAAATTGTCATAATTCGATTACTACTAAATAAACAATAAGTTTTGCAAAAGTCAACGACTTTGATATTGCATAAATAGTTGGCTTTTATAGTCCTTAATTTGTGATTAAAATTTCAGACTGATTCTTCCAATAGTTTTTGCAAAATTCTAAATGTTTATCCCAGAGGCATTATTTTTGCAATAACTTGACATGCAAAATTACCAAGATATTTTAATTCTGTAGGTGTCATATGAAAGAGAAAGACTTCTTTTATTGGAAGAAATTATTTTATTGCAAAAAATTGTTTTTTACCACTGCAAAAACGTACCACAAAAACATTGTCATTTTTGTCTTATAAACAATTAGAATAAATTTGTTGCAATTATATTTAGAGAGATTATTTTTCCATATTTGTAAAGCTGATATTTTTACACAAATTTAAAAAAAAAAGTTGCTCTAACTTAATTTGGGGCAAAGCTTTTTTTAAAAAATCACAGCTACTTTGTTTATTACAATAAGACTTCTAATAAGTGCCATTTCGAAGATCAAGAGCTAAAAAGTTTCTATGTGAAATTTTTGAGGACGATAGCTTTGTAACAGCATCTCTGAGAATGCTCCAAATAATGACTTCGATACAAGATGACTGTGGGTCAGTGGAGGGGGAACCTACAAATCCACGAGCAAATTGAACTCTGGAACTTGTTGACCGATTTTGATGTTTTTTTTTTTTGGGGTACCTTCTTGCGTACATCACAAATATACATTTTGTTAATAAATAAAAATTTAAATTAATCCAGTAATTTGTTTAAACAGTAACAAAAAAATTTTTTTTTTGAAAAATGTCAACATCTTTGTAATTTTTTGTAATGGAACATTATAGGAATGATTAAATATCATTTTTTAATAAATTAATATTGCATACTTTTACCAAAAAATTCTAAATTATCAACATTATTTTAGTTACTTTAACGGAAAGTTATAGATATAGGTTCAATTTTTTTCTTATTAATAAATTAACATTTAAATAATTGAATAATTTGTTTAAACATTAAAACATTTTTTTTATGTTAATTATTAAAAAACCTCACCTGATGGTGTGTGGGTTTTGCACATATTATACTAAAATTCCCCTAAATTTTATGAAAAACTACAGATCCTTGGCTACTCAACAGTCACCACACGGTCATTTATTTTCCTCATATCCCTGGACTATTAGTAACAATTCCTTTATTGTGATTTATTGATTTTATATGCGCAAATATATTGAAACAGTTAGTTGCTGAAATTTTTTTAATATATGGAACAGTTTAATTTTGCTTTACTAATTGGTAGAAATCATAAAATAGAATTATGTTTTTAGCACACCTATGAGTCGTTTCACTATACATCACTGCTCTACCTGAATGATTATGGTATTGACTTCAAAGGAGGGCGATTTGTTTTTTTAAACGATGCTTCTAATCCTACAAAAAATGTCACAGTAGAACCTAGGAAAGGTAGAGTGTCAATGTTTACATCGGGTCCTGAAAACCCGCACTTTGTAGAGCGTGTCACGGAAGGTCTCAGGTTTGCTATTACTGTATCTTTCACATGTGATTCCTCCAAAGCAATTCAAGATCCGGTACATAAAATGTGATTACATTTCATTCCATATTTAACATTTTTAACAACCAACAAACTGCTTTTTAATTTAATTAATATACATCTATAAAAATTAATTATTTTTGCAACTTTAGTGTTGTGAGAATAATATCACAGTAAGTTAATATACAAAATACTATTGTTTGTTAAATGTTTTACATTGTTCTTATCTTAAAACATTCCAAAAGTTACACATTAATAAAACATTTTTGAAATTTAGATTTTTCACATTTACCCTTTACGTTATTCATAATCTTACGATTTTCCCAGCTGACAATCTAAAAATAGTAAGCACTTATACCAGAGTTTGCTACTAATGCCTTGACCCACAAGCTTGCAAGACATCACAATTTAGGTGTTGACACTTGTTGATACCATTGTGACTTTATTATATAATTTTACATCTGGAAATACTTTAAGGACTTAATTACTTCACTTCCACTTTAACTTCACGACCACCGATTCATTATGTTTGATTATAGCAGATGTGAAGTAATTGGATCCGTGAAATATCTGCAGAGGTGAAATAGTAAGACATCTAAAAGGTGACATTTCTTGTACAGAAATGATTCATAAAATTGCATGTAGAAGTATTATTTAAAGTTACCGTTCTATGCATTATAACTTTTTTTTATTATTAACGTGGAGTTTAATAATTAAAAAATTGGTAGCAAATAATTTCCGTGTTAAACATAACTAACAATTTGCAATTATGCAGAGACCCTTTGTGATTCATTTTTGAGATACAGGATGATAAATATTTTCTTATGTTATTGTTCTCAATTATTTTACACTTTTCATAGATGATAGATTTGTACGAAAGGTCTTATCCAGTAATGTGTTTACGGTTAAAAAAACAATGACAAAATATCATGACATGAGGACATTCGGAGGAATTAGAAGTGTTATGGTCCTAAAATTTTGAACAGTAACTCATATATTCCATTGGTTCTCAATAGTGTTGACGTACTGAATTTAAATGGATTATCTTTAAAAACATGTAAAATAAATGAGAATTATGCTTTATCCCTCGTGTCTCAAAAACAATGTATTTGTGACCGTAACTTTTCTTAATTTTGATCTGGTAGAATTTTTTTGGTGGAATGTCGCAAAAATGTATATGTCAATTCAGAAATCAAAAGAAATATGTACTTTAAAAATTTAGTTTTGTATATCTGCTTAATAATTTAGAAACTTTTAAACATATGTGTAGACATTTACAAGAAATGCATTTTTTGATCAATATAACTTGATTTGAATTATGGAAAAATGGTAATCAATACATACATTTTAATTCAAGTTAAGCAGTGAATAATATTGGAAATTTTCTCTAATTGTTGAAATATGACTTTCAAATTGATAATTTCGGATTTTAATGAGCTTTGTTGTAGTAAAAGTACATACTCCAAAGAATATCTAGAATTTTGGTTAGTGTAAGTATATTAGAACTTGGAAAAAAAAAATTATCAAAATTATTTTCTTTTTTTTAGACCATTGAAAATAATGTAAAAATCTGAAAAAAATCTATAATATTCTCTGAAATATCCCTCAAAGTTGCTCATTAGTTCCATACTTTTATGTAGTTTTTGAGAAAACATAATTTGAAAAGTAATAACATCTGCGTGTTAGTTATCTCAAAAGTAGTTTGAGAACCAGCACTAAAAGCGGTATGTACCTACATATAATGTTTTCATTGTATGCTAATATTAAAACTTATATTTTTTCACACATTAGTCATGTGGGACTACCATGCTTATCCGGCTAGACCCTTTACTTGATCCAAAAAATATATTTATTTTACTGATAGATTCGTTTAGTAGATCTCTTCCTCAAATAAAACATAACTGAAATTAAAAGTCAAAAAATTGAAGAGATCCTCTGTTCTGTTTTTCACAAAAAACGAGCTCGGGTCATTTGAACTACTTTTTATCTATTTTGGCCCCCCTGTAATGTGTAATGATATTTAAATCATTGGGGTTTACACTTTTCTTCAAATACACTCTGTATGTAACTTTTAACTCTTAAATATATTGTATTGTATAAATTTCTTTATTATTAGTCGAGGAAATAAAGCACAAAGAGCCGAAATCTCCGAAATTTTTCCATCAAGTCGTATCAAGATGGGGTTTTTTGCATTCAGTTTCTAAAATGTGAAAAAAATGTATCAACTTTGTATTATGTTTTTCGGCCAAATTGCATTTGTGCAGTGCAAAATGTATCAGGAAAAATGCATTTTTTAGTCACTTAGAAAAAATTCATAACTCCGTTAATAATGTCTGGAATGGACTCAATTCAGGGTTCTGGAGGTTTTCGAGGTCGCTGATCCCGAATATGACCTTCAAATTGACACCCGGGGGTTTTACGGGTTGCTGATTCCTAATCTGGCGTCGGCGAGCACCCCCCGGACATCTGGTGTACCGGAACCTGGACATGGACGTCACTCCGGGAGTTTTCCTGTAAAATTCGGGTAAACAATCCGAAAATCGCATCAGGGGGTTTTTCGGAGCGCTCTTCTCGAATCTGGCGTCGGTGACCACACCTCGGATACCTGGTGTACCGGAATCTGGACATGGATGGCATCTCCGGGAATTTTCCTGTAAAATTCGGGTAAACGAGCCGAAAATGGTATCAGGGGGTTTTTCGGGGCGCTCTTCTCGAATCTGGCGTCGGCGACCACACCTCGGATACCTGGTGTACCGGAACCTGGACATGGATGTCATCTCCGGGAATTTTCCTGTAAAATTCGCGTAAACGAGCCGAAAATTGTACCAGGGGGTTTTTCGGGGCGCTCTTCTCGAATCTGGCGTCGGCTGACCACACCTCGGATACCTGGTGTACCGGAACCTGGACATGGATGTCATCTCCGGGAATTTTCCTGTAAAATTCGCGTAAACGAGCCGAAAATTGTACCAGGGGGTTTTTCGGGGCGCTCTTCTCGAATCTGGCGTCGGCAACCACACCCCAGACACCTGGTGCACCGGAACCTGGACTTTGAAATCGGCGTCATCGCCAGAGAAATCAATAAACAGTAAATTTTCAATATATTTGAGACTGCTGTTAATACTGCAATAACTTGTTTGGAATTGTTGATCTAATTTAAAGTATGCAAGTTTTGTATGCAATAATTTGAATGATCACAATGTATGCGTGTTATTTCAGAAACAAATGAAAATCATTTGCCTTTTCTAACTTACTATGACATCTATGTCCAGGTTCCGGTGCACCAGGTGTCAGGGGGGGTGGTCACCGACGCCAGATTTCGACAAAAGCGCCCCAAAAACCCCCTGATGCGATTTTTGGATTGTTTACGCGAATTTTACAGGAAAATTCCCGAAGATGACGTCCATGTTCAGGTTCCGGTACACCAGATATCCGGGGTGTGCTCGCCGACGCCAGATTAGGAATCAGCGACCCGAAAAACCCCCTGGTGTCTGGTCTCGTTGCATTTAAGAGTGAAATTCAGGAGAAGCCTCGGAGATGACGTTCATCATCAATCCTAAGCTTCAGGTCGGGGATGGACCAATTTGAAGGTCATATTCGGGATCAGCGACCTCGAAAACCTCCAGTACCTGATTTGAGTCCATTCCAGGCATTATTAACCAAGTTATGAATTTTTTCTAAGTGACTTTTAAAAATGCATTTTTGCGGATGCATTTTGCACTGCAATTTGGCCGAAAAACATAATACAAAGTTGATACATTTTTTTCACATAATTTTAGAAACCGAATGCAAAAAACCCCATCTTGATATGACTTGATGGAAAAATTTCGGAGATTTCGGCTCTTTGTGCTTTATTTCCTCAACTAATAATAAATTTATACAATACAATATATTTAAGAGTTAAAAGTTACATACAGAGTGTATTTGAAGAAAAGTGTAAACCCCAATGATTTAAATATCGTTACACATTACAGGGGGGCCAAAATAGATAAAAAGTAGTTCAAATGTCTCGAGCTCGATTTTTTGTGAAAAACAGAACGAAGTGGATCTCTTCAATTTTTTGACTTTTTTAATTTCCGTTATGTTTTATTTGAGGAAGAGATCTACTAAACGAATCTATTGCAATTTGGTCGAAAAACATAATACAAAGTTGATACATTTTTTTCACATAATTTTAGAAACCGAATGCAAAACACCCCATCTTGATACGACTTGATGGAAAAATTTCGGAGATTTCGGCTCTTTTTGTGCTTTATTTCCTCAACTAATAATAAAGAAATTTATACAATACAATATATTTAAGAGTTAAAAGTTACGTACAGAGTGTATTTGAAGAAAAGTGTAAACCCCAATGATTTAAATATCGTTACACATTACAGGGGGGCCAAAATAGATAAAAAGTAGTTCAAATGTCCCGAGCTTGATTTTTTTGTGAAAAACGGAACAGAGGATCTCTTCAATTTTTTCTTTTTTAATTTCCGTTGTTTTATTTGAGGAAGAGATCTACTAAACGAATCTATTGCAATTTGGCCAAAAAACAATACAAAGTTGATACATTTTTTTCACATAATTTTAGAAACCTATTTTGATACGACTTGATCAAAAAATTTCGGAGGTTCAGTGCTTTATTTCCTCGACTATATACTGAAAATTAGTTTATTACCGTTATTGGAGTTTCTGCAAGAATTCTGTTGGATTTCCGTAACTGTGTAAATAAATAAATATTTACCATTGGTTTTATCGACATCCTCAAAAACACATTAGTTTTCGAAAGTAGTATAATTTGCAGGTGGTGAATCTTATCTCAGTTTCGTGGTATGTATTAATAGGAATAAAACAAAAGTAATAATAAATATGTTTTATTCTTTAAGTATTGTATATACAACCATTACATTAACTGTCACGATGAAACATACGTCAAGCAACAAACGCCGTCCCATCATCAGAGCTACAAACAAATGAATAACCAAATCTTTGGTTGAACGTATCAACATATAAAAATTCAATTCTATAAATAACTTAATCATACTTAAAAAAATAAATAAATTTACTAAAACTGAAATTACTTCATATTTACATATAAATAACAAAAAATGAGATGCAAAATATTTGGACCCCTAAATTAAAAAAAATTTGATGTGATGACGTGGAATGCACTCGTGTAAATAAATAGCCTATAGTGCCAGTTTATCTATACCCTAATAAGGCTGTGAAGGATATTTGCGATTTTTTCTACACTACTTCCACTTAATATACTTCGATGATTCCCCTCCAAAGCTTCTATCTTCACTTTCTGCTTGCATATCTGTAAGAGAGAAACGAAAACGATTAATTTAGGAAGAAATATTATTTTACAAATACCCTACCTCGGATAAACCATAATCTTCACCAAGTTGCACGTAATTGTCGATAGCCTTTACTAACGTTACTCTTCCACTGAATTTTCCCGACGGTTTATACGAGTCCGCGGCTCTTAATTTCCCGTAGAAACTGGTAGCTGCCGCTGCAATTTGTTCGGCTGGATAAGGAATGGCCTCGGATAAGATTTGTACCGCCCTAGAAAGCCTTTCCTCCCAACTCGTTAAAGCTGTAAATTCTGCCATGGTCTGCAAATTAAAAAAAATATAGATAATTGATTTCGTACAATTTCAAAGGTTATTTACCTTTTGTTGATCTACTTCCTTGAACTGCAAAATAAAGAACAATAGAACTTCGCTTTGTTCAATAGCGGTATTTCCTTGTATCTTGCTTCTCGCCTTTCCAGTATGGGTGGCGACGTAAGACGGGGACCCGTCCAAAAGTAAAAGTGTCGCAGCTTCTTTACTTCTTTCCAACCACACGCCCATTTCGAAAGCAACGCACGCTCCAAACGAATAACCGATTAAAGTGTAAGGACCCTTGGGTTGCACGGTTTTGATCTGAGTTATGTAGAACTTGGCAAGATCGGCGATACTATCAAGCGGTGTATTAGAAGTACATTGAAGACCGTAGACGGGTACGTCTATATTCTTCGCTAGAGTCTCTAGTGCTTTCACCACTCCTTCAATAGGGTGTAGCACAAATACGGGAGGTTTCTTACTGTCCGTTGATTTACTCGTTAGTTGAACAACTGTTTTTGAAGGTATAATCTCTCCAGTTGTGTCATACGCGACGTTATTGTCTTTCGGATCTAAAGCAGTTTCTGCGGGAGCAGGAGCGGTGCCACTTCCACCGCTGGCAAGTTCAACCAAACGGCCGAAAGTAAGTGCCCTAATTTCTTGCGCGCTCAACACTAAATCATAATTACGTTCTAAGGTCTGCTTGATTTCTGCTCCCATAAGGGAGTCCATACCCAAATCCGCAAGGGTAGCCGAAGCTGCGACAGTAGAAGCATCCTTAATGCCGAGGATATTCGCCACCGCGTCTGTCAAACTAACCTGAGTGCCGCCGCCGGCCCCTTTGCGTTTCTCCGCTAGGACCATACTGGCAACGACAGCATTCGGCTGCTGTAAAAATACGTCCATGGTGGCCAGACATGAGGACATTCTCTGTGGTAAGGTGCCTCCTACTTCCGTGTCGTTTCCGCCCATTGTTTCGAGAATTAAACCTACGTCTCCGATGGCTCCCCACTGGATAGCCACGCCTGGTAGTCCAGCAGCTTGTCTGGCTTCAGCGATTCTTTCCATGGCAGAATTAGCCAGACCGTAGTTGGCTTGACCGGCGTTACCTCTACCACACGATACGGACGAGAAGTTGACAAAGTAATCTAGATGTGGGGCTAGTACCCTGGAGGCAGCATCTAGTTGTTTGCTGCCGTCAACTTTAGGTCTGCTGACCGTTTTGAAATCTCCTTCGCTTTGATTTTCCATCATAGCATCTCGTAAAACTACGGCCAAATTGAAGATACCGCCAATTGGTCCTAATTCGTTGGCTTGTTCCAGAAGTCTCCTTGCCCCTTTCTCGCTTGTTGCATCAGCCGTGGAAACAAGCACTGAGACCCCTTGTTCTCTCCAGCGCCTGATGCAGAGAGATTGGTAACCGGTTTTGATACCACTCCTCGAGGTGAGAACTAGATTTTTAGCGCCTCTCGTTATTAACCAATTAGCTAGTTCCAAACCAAATCCTCCCAGACCTCCTACTAAAACGTAACTCTTTTCAGGGTCCATGTAAGTACGTGGTATGGCGTTGACAGTTTTTGGTGTCGGGCGTTGGGTCTTACGACTTTCTTCATCTCGTATTTTTAGGAGTACTTTTCCAATATGTTTGCCGGATGCCATGTAACGGAATGCTTGCTCTATCTGGTGTTCGTTATAAACGGTTTTCGGTAAAGGTCTGACAGCTCCACTCGCGATACCTTGACTGACCAAGTTCATAACTTTTCTTTTTTCTGGACTGTCCGTGTCGAACAATGCATCAAGTAAGATGCCGTGGAATGTGGTATTTTTAAGGAATACACTCATACCCAATGGTGAGTTATTCGAGAGGTCTACCTTTCCTATTTCAAGGAAACGACCACCAATAGCTAAACATCTCACCGATGCTTGCAATTGGTGAGCTGCTAATGAGTTGAGGACTAAATCCACACCTTTTCCATTGGTTTGGGATAAGACTAGCTGTTCAAAGCTAGTGTCACGCGAGTTCCCTATATTTTCATCTTTTAATTGAGGGAATGTTTTCTTCAGAAAATCACGTTTCACTTGACTGCTGACGGTGGTAAATACCGTACATCCCATGTGAAGGGCAATAGAGATTGATGCCTGCCCTACACCACCTGTTCCTGCATGGATAAGAACCGATTCACCCGGTTTCATTCCACCTCTGACTACTAATGCATAGTAACTCTGAAAAAAAAAAAAAATAAAATTGATTATTAGCCATAACTACGAAGTGCATTGATAATGGATGAGATAATTTAATCGCAATCTTCAAAAACAGGACTAAAAAATGTGGAATTTGTGATTAAATGAAGTATTTTATCAATGTTAGAGGATTATTTAGTCAGAAAGTTTTTTTTTTTAAGAGAATATTAAAATGTATTTATTTATTAAAGTTAGTCAAATATCAGTTGATTTTTTGAATAAAATTACTTAGAAAAGTTATTCACACTTAAAATTTATGTCCAACCAAAAATTTGAACGTAATCGGACTGTTTTGATGTTATTTAGTAAATCATTGATTTGCAAATCAAAATTGATTTCTGATCTCTTAACACAAAAACGGCACTATATTTCAGGAATAGAAAAACTGAAAGAATTAAAGTATGTGAATTTCTTCCAAGTTTGGAACATGGTAAAATATTTTAATTCTAAATAAACAACACTTCATAATGAAATCTTTTGATATCTTTTGCAAAAAAGTTACGTTATCTAGGTGTTTCGAAAATAATCGTTTTGTTCATGAAAAGGCCTATTTGATTTTTCAGAAACAGAATCATTTACCATACTATAAATTTTATCGTTGATACCAGTGGTACACAATCTGGAACATCCTGTAGATATTAAATATAGGAAAAATATTGGCTATTTATGTATTTATTAAATTGTATAGTGTATTAATAAATTAATATTTCTAATCATATCTACCCTACATTGAGATCACTTAAAAAAAAGAAACTACATCTCTGTACATTTGAACAAAAGCACAATTTTTTACCGAAGATTACTTTTTTCACAAAATTAAATAAGTTTTTCTCTTTTCTACCCCATCTGTGAACACATATTAGTAACAGTTTGGCAGTTATGTAATTATTATTCGTCGTAATTGCATAAGGTAAATCAAAAACTGAAATATTATTTAAAGGACATCCGAGTTTACAGAAAAAATAAAACGAGATGGGAATTTTACATCTATAAATAATTTAACATTAATGAGTATATTACTGGATGCTTAAATAATATTTTATTTAAAAAGTATAGAATTACTTAAAAAAAAAGTTTAAGACGATGTAAATCTCCACTTTTCAGTTTTAAATAAATTTTTTCACATAAATATAGTTCATGAGAAGCTAAATACATATGTAACAGTCTTTACAAAGAAAAGAAATACAAATAGTTCTTTTTTAAAATAAAAATGACTTTTTAATAATTTGATCATGAACGAAACTGCAGAATGTAGTTCAGTAAGATGGCGTTAATGTGCAAAAATGACTTCTGACTTTTACTTATTGTTTATTAAATATTGCCATTGAAAAAATGAAGTGACAGTAAGGCAAACCAAAAGTTATTCTACAAAACATTAAAATCGTTGAGAACAGAGAAGACATATGATACAAACCGAATAAAGAATAAAAATGGAGACATAATCACAGAAGATAAGGAAATAATGAACAGATGGAAAGAGTATTTTCAAGAATTGTTAGGAGACGAGGGAGAAACAAAGGATAAAGACTTACGACATGATAGAATAGAACAATACAAAGAAGAAGGAAATATAACTTTAAATGAACTAAAAGATGTAATGCGAGAACTTAAAAACGGGAAGGCGACAGGTTATGATAAACTAACAATGGAAATGCTTAAAAACATGGAGCAGAGGATTGGAAATACTTTTGGAGATATATAATAGGGCATGCATTAAAGAACAAATTCCTAACGACTGAAGGAGAGCGTTAATAGTACAAAAAAAAGGAGACAAACAAGATTGCAATAACTACAGAGGTATAACTTTGTTAAGTACAGCCATGAAAATATATGAGAAGATTATTAACAAAAATAAAACCAATAGTAGAGAATACATTAGAAGAATCACAGAGTGGGTTTGAAAAGGCAGAAACATACAAGACCATATGTTCACAATAAAACAATTAATAGAAAAGTCATTACACAGGGTTCATAGCGGCGGCCGGGAAAACCGGGAATACCGGGAAAAGTCAGGGAATTTGTTATTCTTCATAAAAAACAGGGAATAGTCAGGGAATTTGAAAAATATTCATGAAAGTCAGGGAATTTAATGTTTGCAACTGGAAATTTTGTGAAAACCGGCTCTGGGTTCTTGAAAGAGAAAACTTTTTGAAACCTTTATAAGAGGTTGTTAGGGTATAAAAAAGATTAAGAAGTCCGGTCGAGAAAAAATTTAATGCATAAATACCAATTAGTATGTAAAAATGAACTACAAGTGATTTTTTTTATAAGTCAGGGAAAACCTGGAAAAGTCAGGGAATTCTTTATTACTTTTGAACTATGAACCCTGTTACAACAGAAAAAGGATCGAGATACCGAAATGAAACAAGACTTACATAATTAATGGAAAAATTATTGCTCTTTCGGGTTTTGAATCAAGTTTCATGTTAGACATACAGGGTAAAAAGTTATTAACTAAATTTGCTCTATGAGCAACGCTGAAATTGCAACATCTTATTCGTCGCTTAAAAAAATATAGTTTCACAAATTTTCAAGTTCCTAACCTACATATTTTCAGGATAATTGCAAAAAAGCATTTAAAATTTTAACATTCAACACCCTGTATTTCAGAAACTATCAACTTTCAGATAAGGCATGTTTGTGCCAATGGTTACCATTTCACGTGTAGTATCTTCAGCTTTCGATTTATATATAAATCGAATACGAATCAAATCGAATCGAAACCCTGTATATATAAATATTGCCATAACATCCTACCAAGTGTAATACCGACCTATATTTAGCACTTTAATTTGAACTAGAATAATAAGTTTTTATTTTAAAAAAAGTTACGTTTAATTTAGATATTTACAAATTCTTAGCAATTTAAAAAATGTGATAATCTGCATTCGTATATCTTGCACTTTTGTACAATAAACAGCCAAATTATGAAAGGAATTCAAGAAAACAGTAGTAATATTTTTTTGGAAAAGAGACACGTCAATTTTGAATGATGACTACAAACATATTGTCGTCACATTCAATTCTTAACAGTAATTTGTTTGTTAGTGATGAGTCATCAATTTTTTATTGTTAATTTGAAAGATCTATTAATTGTAAAAACAGTGCTCTTTAAGAAGCGAGAAAAGTGCCTGGGCAGGTAGAATTCCAATGCTGAATTCTTGAAAATTGTTGGTCACGTTTACAACCGCAGTAAAAATCCCAAAATTAGCCCATTTAGTGAAATGTTTTTATAGCCGTCTGATAAGAGATTAAACAACTGTGTTATGAGTTTTTTTATATTCAAATAACAGTGTATATAGGGACTGTTAATGGTTAATGAGTAATTAACGGGTTTACTGGGTTTTAACGGACAATTAACAGGTATGTAGGCTCTTAACAAGTATAGTCGTTACGATATCAGTTGGAACCACATAAAAACATTTAACTCATAAACTCTACAGAATCCATAGGCGTCCAGAAAAATTTTGCCCTGTTTCGTCTAAATATACTATATTATGAGCTACCTTCCTATTTAGTCGACGATATTCTCGAATTTTTGTAAATAATCTTCCCGAAGTGCAACTATACGTCGTGATTACATAATTACCATACGATTCTCAAGTTTTTTATGTTTAAAACTGCATTGTAATAAAACATGTCGTAACATATCTAAAGATTTATAATTATAATCAGGATAATCGCTCGTATTTTCTTTATACATATTATTAATTGTGCGCCGTATTACATCTCTGGTAAAATCGTCAATATTCTTTAATTTTGTATTTTTCCGTTTCCTCTTTGTACCGTGATTAATAACATCTTTAATTACACAATAATTTGTAGTTTTTCTGATATATTAGTTAATTCGCTAATCCGTTTCCTTATTTCTTTAACACATTGTTCACTATTTTCCCTTTTCAAATATTCATGTATATTTAAAATAATACGTTGACTTTGTACGTGTAAATCTTTGATTTTAAACTCTTGAGTTTGTTTCGACGCTTTCAGCAAAAATCGGCTCGACTATTTGCGAAGCGATGTAAACAGCGTTCGACACCAAACTAATAGGATACCGTGCAAAAAATTATTTAGGACCTAGTGAACCAATACAGGTTTGCTTTGACGACCAGCGTGCCGCCGTCGATATCTTCGGCATTAAGAAAGAGATAATTTAGTATTCCACCAATTTACATATTTGACCAAATTTAACATCGTCAAACGAGGGTTAAAACCAAAATCGCGACTCAAAGTGCCGTTAATTAATCTTATGTAACTTACAGTTCCGTAAACGACTGGGATAGTCGCGGCTTCCTCCAAACTCCATTTCTCAGGAACTTCCCACAGAAAGCCCGGGTCGGCTAGGACGGTGGTGGCCAAGCTTTTAGCTGCTACCATACCCATGACCCGTTTTCCTCTGGAATCGCGCCCTGAAAATTCCAATCCAAGAATGCAATCCTGTCCGGCAAGATCTCCGGGAAGCGCGTCTGGCGGGAGTTTTCCAGTGGCTAACATGATGTCGCGGAAGTTAAGAGGCGCGTAGTAAACGTGGCACAGTTCGGTGTTTGGAGCATCTCCCCTGCAATATAGAAAAATTAACACAAAGTTAACCAATGTCGGTAAATATAATTACTTGTAATATCCCAAAGGTCCTTCAATCCAATGGAGGCTGGATAGATCCCCCCGAGTCAGGGTGTTGATGTAGGCATGCTCGACTTGCAAATTTCCGCTGTCGTTAAACTGGTCTAGAAGCAGATGGCGGAAAGATCCCCAGACTTTCTTTTTAAAGACGTTGTGAACGAGATCCTTCCTAAGTTGACTCTCGTAAGCATTAATGGAAAACTTGGGTGCGTTACTGTCTTGGATAAAGAACGCTCTTATACCCGAACCACCGGGCTCTTGTTTTAAGCAGTTAACCATACCGACGAGACCTGTAAGTTCCTCGTTTTGAACGTATAAATAAATCTTCCTTCCGTCAGTTTCGGCCAACTTCATCAACTCCTTTAGGGGCCCAACCCAAGCGAAGTTCTTCTCTGTTATTTGTAATACGCTCGGATTCGAGGGTATAGGAACGGGTTGTCTCAAGAGAATGTACGTTTTTGTACTGGTTACTTGAGTACTTATTACTTCCAAGCCGGAAGACCCAAACTTGTTTGGTTCCACAGGACCTTTAGCTTCTTCTAGCAGTATAAACCCTCCGGTTTTAAGAGACGCTACGGCATTGTCTATAACAATCTTCTTATTGTACAGTAAAAGATCACTACCGACCACCAAGTGAAGGTCCTGACCGACAGGACCTGTCAGTATATCACGAACGGCATGTTTGATATCCACGGCTTCCAAAGCAGCAGTGTCGACTGGACCTTGTGTAACAACAGTAGATTCAACGGAAAGCATAGGTTCTTTTTCGAGTATTGACGTAATGGTTGGTGCCAGAACGGATTCAATGGGTCTGTCGTTCCCGATTTCTGCAACTTTAAGCTTCAAAGCCCCCGAGCTATTTTCTAATACAATTTGGAGGATAGCAGTCAGAGCATGAATTTTACTTTTCTCTGGATCTTCGGAAAGTGGCTGGTTATTTTGATAAGGCGTGAATTGATATTTTTCTAGTTTTGGCGGCGCTTGCGCTTGTTGACGACGAGGCGCTAAACTAGCTTTCATCCCTCGGAGCTCTATTCCTGCGGATTTAATAACACCTATGTTGCGGTACATGTGAACAGGAACAGCTGCAAAAAATTAAGACAATCTAAGTTAAACAATTATGACTAAGTAAATTTTCTAAAAAATCCAATCCAATGAAGTCATACAATGTTCCTCGATACCAGAAATCTAACTATGCAAAAGATATCTAACTGTAGACAAGATTCCCAACTGTTGATATTGCAGGAAACAACTTCTCCCCAAGCGTTGAATTAGACCAGCGGTTTCTACTAAACAACTGGTAATCTTGTCTGTGGGCATATGTTTACAATAGAGTAAAAATACAAGAGCAAATATAGTGGAGTAAAATAAGATTTTGACTTTGGAAAAATTTGCAGATCGGGTAACTTTTGAAGACACACTTGTGAGGGTGTTAGGAACAACATATAAAAAGTTAGCAACCGTAGAGTGTACGCTTGATTATTTATTTAACAAATTAGTTGAAAAATTCCATTGGTTATTGTATATCTTAACAAATTAATTTTTTTTAAACTAATTGTGCCAATCGAACGTACAGGAAATTTTACATGAAAAATGTATATAAAGTTATTTTCTAAAATGAAAACTGTGGGTTGTAGAATTTTTTTTAAATCGTACGAAAATGCAAAGCGTCGGCACTTGCGTGCAAGACTGGAGGAGAGCGCGTCTTCGCGCGCTATCCACTAAATTTGTTATAACTTTTGATCTATTTGATCAAATTAAATCCACAAAAATTTAAATGAAAGAGGAATCTTGTAGCTAACAAGTTATCATGATTTTAAAATCGAAAAAAATATTTACAGAAATAGTGTGTATATAAAGTTACGTAACGGTAGAATTTTCTACAAAATTAATTAAAGATCTGCCATTTATTTAATTTTTAAGATAAAAATCTAAAATTTTCAAAGATTACTCTTGAAATAGCATTTAAAATTGCGAGTGATATAAAAAAAATCTTAAAATTTTAATTTGAAAAATACAACGCTTGACATATTCAATAATTTTTAAAAAAAGGCAAATTTGATTTTTTAGGTCACGTTTCAAAGTCCGATAACTTTAGTTCAAAATATGATGTTGCAACTTTACAAGAGCATTTTTTGAAGCTTGAAAACTGTACTTTAAGATGGTCCATTTTGTTTTATTTAAAACGCTGAATTTCTAATTTAAAAAAAAATATTTTTCTAAAATGATGAAATTTGTTAAATAAACTTTAATAAAGTTAAAAAAAAAATCTTTTTGCTTGTTTAACCAATATATTTTCAAACTATGATCTTAAAAAAAGTATAATCAACGAAAAAAAAAATTGGTGTTACTATAATATTGTATAAAATACGAATTTTATTTATTCATGCTTTTACTGGATCCGACACTAAATCATGTTTTGGGAAAGCAAAGTGAAGTTTGCTAAAATGTGCGAGGGAAAGAGATATTTGCAAGAAACCATTGATATTTTTTCAGAAACTAAATGAAGACATTGATACTGCATTTCAAAAGGGTATATTACCAAGTGCAGGCTTGGCTTGACCAAAAAATTGCAAGCAGAATACTGGGGTTGGAAACTAGAGGATTCGGGTATGACTCTAACTTCTATGACTCAAGTGAACTTCTCAAAATGATTTTTTGCGAATGATAAAGTGGATGTGCTAATAATTGCGGTTGCCGGAAGGCGGGTCTACTTTGCACCATAGCATGCTCTAATTGTTCCGGAACTGATTGTCTCAATTACCAGGCATTTTCCGAAGAAGAACGAGATTCAGACCAATTGCCAGAACTTAACAATGATTCAAGAGCATGAAAATTTAATATTGTTATTTTTTTATATTTCTATTTTTAATATGCAAATACTTTTTCATAATTCATAAATTTGTTAATTAAGAATCCCATATATGGACTTTTTGCAGAACACAAATTTCTTTAAAATCTAACGAATTGATTTCATTTTATATTTGTTCAATGATCTGAAAAATCCTAAAAATATCAATATGAGTAAAATTGCTTTGAAAATGTAACTTTTAAATAAATTGTTTAAAAAAGTCGGCCATATTGGATCAGCCATTTTGAACTTTCATTTTCTGATATAATATTCTTGTTCAGAGACCTCAAACACCCCTATAATGTCAATTTAACTAAATTTACTTTGAAATTTGTAATTTTTAAATAAATTTTTAAAAAAAGTCGTCCATATTGGATCAGCCCGATCAGCCATTTTGAAATTTCATATTCTGATATAATATTCTTGTTCAGAGATCTCAAAAATCCCTATAATGTCAATTTAAGTAAATTTACTTCGAAATTTGTAATTTTTAAATAATTTTTTTAAAAAAGTCGGCCATATTGGATCAGCCATTTTGAAATTTCATATTCTGATATATTCTGGTTCAGAGATCTCAAAAACCCCTATAATGTCAATTTAACTAAATTTACTTTGAAATTTGTAATTTTAAAAAAATTTTTTAAAAAGTCGGCCATATTGGATCAACCATTATGAATTTTCATTTTCTGATATAATATTCTTCTTCAGTGACCTCAAAAACCCCTATGTCAATTTAACTAAATTTACTTTCAAATTTGAAATTTTTAAATAATTTTTTTAAAAGTCGGCCATATTGGATCAGCCATTTTGAATTTTTATTTTCTGATATAATATTCTTTCTCAGCGACTTCAAAAACCCCAGTAATATCAATTTGATTAAAATTGCTTTGAAAATCGTCATTTTTTAATAAATTGTTTAAAAAAGTCAGCCATATTGGATCAGCCATTTTGAATTTTTATTTTTTACCATTATATTCTTATTCAATGGCCTCGAAATCCCATATAATATTAATTAAATTAAAATTGGTTTGAAATTTTTCGATTTATTTAAAATAATCTTTGAAAAAGCATTTTCTTTTTTGTTTAATCAATTAAATAACAATTAGTGTACAAATATAAGTTTATAACTTTTTTCTATAAGCCACTTCAAGGCGATTGCAAAAGGTTTTATGAAAATCCAAGGCTCTGCTAATTATTCCGAAATAATGCATATTTTTAAGCTACCTTTACTCCATTAATAATGGAATATGTGTATTAAAAACAATTATGGCTACTTACTTGCACCCTCCTTAAGGCTCTGAATGTGACTTAAATGTTCCTTCGGATTTATCACTGCCCTCTGCAATCTTGTCGGCAGATAAAGCTCCCTTGTACTTTGTCCAAGGATGGAGAATTGCAACATAGTGTCAATGAAACTAATCCAGTTGTTTTCCCACTTTAAATGTCCACTAATGCCTCTGTTGTCTGATCCAGCTATACCACGGAATATACCTTCGTAATCATACCCTCGTAGACGTAGTTCTTTGTAAATATCCGCAGCATCTAGAGAGAGGACATCCTTTTCAGATGGAACTCGAGGCGTGGGAAGATTTAACACTTCCTTAGAAACATCTTCCGGTACAGATATTCTACCGGATACCGCGACAGAACCTCCTTCGCATAATTCAAATTCCCCACTTCCTTCAAATATGTTAATAAGAAACTTTACAGAACCTTCTTTCGGCATTATCGTAGCGCGATGGAACTGTACATCCTCAAGTATAACTGGCAATTGTTCAAAGTCCTCATTTCTTAGCTTAGCGAAAGTCTTCCAAACTAATGTCTATTAAATAAAGTTTAAATTATTTTTATTATTCGTATGTTACTACAAAAAAACTTACAAGATACCCGGTTGCTGGAAATAGGACACGACCATCAATGGCATGACCGGCTAAAAACTGGTCAGACTCTTTACTTAAGTCAATATCCACGACCAATTCTCCCGAACGAGATCCCTTCCCAGAAAAGTTTGCAACGGACCATTCGATGGAATGATCCCATTCAATCATTGAATTTATCATAGGAGTGCCTTTGCCCACCGGAAAACTGACCGGATGGAACAGATTTCCAAAGCTAGGTTGAGCCCCAGCATTGTATATCCTTTAAATTATAAAAAATTTTAAAATATTTGCTAATTTTGAATTTACCGCCTAATACATTACAAAAGAGAGCCATCTATTATCAGTTTTCTGAGCTTAGACATGTAGTTCCACTGCAGACCAATAGATGGCTCTGACAGTTGTGGACAATTATAGAGAAAGACACCTCTTATTTGATTTTTTATGGTTTTACCGATCATGAAAGAAATACTTACTTTCCAAGAGCCGATAACAGGAACTCAATGTTGTCAGGATGGCCACGTTTGACAAGACTAATATTGGTACTCTTAGGCCCTAAAGCTCTTTTGAGGATTGCTTGAAGAAGTCCTGTAGGCGCAATTTCGATGACGATTGCATTCTCTGGTATATGTTTCAAAGCTTCGTGGAACAGTACAGGTGACAACAGGTTGTTTACATGGTAGGCAGCTGAGCTGTGCTCGGCAAGCGCAGTGCCCCAAGCGGATTCGGGAATAGACGAGGAAATCCACTTAGGCGACCTAGGTTTGGGATTAGATATAATTTCTTCTAAAGCTTTACGTAGCCTAGGACCTGCATCGGCAATGTATTTACTGTGGAAAGCCGTACCGGAACTTTTTACAGCTTTGGCGAATATATTTTCTGACTGAAGCTGTTCGACAAACTTTTCAATTGATGCGGGGGGACCCGAAATGGTCACGCTGTCTTCGCTGTTATGACAAGCGGGGTAAATTTCAGGCGGGCACCTCTTTTTTACTTCGTCCCATGATAAACCAACTGCCGCCATTGCACCTGGAGCTAATTTGCTTTCTAGAATCGCACGACCTCTTGAGTATGCGGCTAGAACGGCTTGTTCACCAGTTAACGTTGCATCAGCATAGGCACACCCTGTAATAAGATTAAAATTATTCATGATTAGGTTCAACGTTGTACGATTTATTGATTACTTACCAACTTCTCCTACAGAATGACCTACGATTACATCTGGTTCAATTCCCACGGACTTCAATACATCTGTTAATGCAACTTGCATAGCAGCGATCGATATAAATGAGTTAAGAACATTATCAAAAGTACTGTCAGTGCCGTTGATGATTATATCTTCTAGATTTACACCTCGAGGTTTTAAAGCATCAGAACATTTCCTGATAGAATTTCTAAAAGCGTCTAATTGCATCAGATCTTTTGCCATTCCTGGCCATTGAGAACCCATCCCGGAGAATACAAAAGCAATAGGTCTCTTGTCTCCGGGAACCTGAGTTACTTCACGCACCGACGGGTCATTGAAAACTGCATAACCACGATACGCATGTCCTGGGATATTTTTGCTATGAATTTCGTCTATAAGGGCAAAAAATTCCTCGTCAGTTTTGTTTTGTTCGATTTTACTCAAAAAATTATTGACTGCCTCTTCAGTTCGTCCTGAAACTCCTACAACTCGAGGAATCGGACCGGTAGGCCATTGTATTTTAGGTTTGGGGTTAGATCTTAGTACAATATGGGCATTGGCTCCTCCAAAACCAAAAGAGTTAATACCAACTATTCCTCCGTTCCAGGGCTCGTTCTTGGAAACGACTTTGAGACGACCATCGTTTAACGCTGGGATATCTTGATTGGGTGATTCGAAATGGAGATTTTGCGGAATCATCCCTGCCTCCATTGCAATTACTATTTTAGCTAACGAACATAATCCAGAAGCTGGCTCTGAGTGTCCCATATTGCTTTTTACTGAACCAATCAGCAGAGGATCCGTACGATTTTTACAGAAGAAATCGGCAATCGAGTTTACTTCTTGTGGATCGCCTACCTTTGTACCAGTTCCGTGAGCTTCCACATAAGAAACGTCTTGAGGTTTAATACCAATTTCTTCATAAACTTCCCTAATTAGTTTGTTTTGCATGGCTCCAGAGGGGAATGTGATTCCTTGTTCTTTGTTTCCATCAGTATTAGTTCTAGCGCCTAATATAGTAGCGTAAATTCGCCGAGCTACACTTGCTTTTTGGAGGTACACCACCACAGCTGCCTCAGATCTAACGTATCCATTTCCGGAAGAGTCAAATGCCTTGCACATGCCTTGCGGACTAAGCATGCTAAGACGATGGAACTGTAACGATGATGTCGGTTTAAGAAGCAAGTTAACACCAGCCACTATGGCAGCATCGCACTGTCCCGTCTTTATGGCTGTTACCGCTTGTTGAAAGGCAAACAAACTACTTGAACAAGCAGTATCCACTGCATAACTTGGCCCATTAAAATCGAAAGTATAAGATATTCTGTTAGGAAACATAGCCCGGCAGCAGCCCGTCAGTCCGTATCCATTTACTTGGTCAGGATCCTGTGTCCAAAATTCTGACGATTCACTGTCTGATACTCCTACGAATACTCCAGTCCTGGAGCCCTTTGCGGCGCTCGGATTTACCCCCGCGTCAACCAGAGCTTCATGTGTAAGTTCTAAAAGCATTCGTAGTTGTGGATCCATCACGTGTGCTTGCTTGGCGTGCACTCCGAAAAATGTAGCGTCGAAATACTGTAAGTCTTTTATTTTTCCAGTACGTGTAGGTAGTCCATATAAACCGGAAGGCCATCGTCTTTCGTCGTCCGTCACCAGGTCAACACCATCGAAGAGTTGTTGCTTGAATTCTTCGATGGAGTTACTCTCTGGAAGACGGCCAGATATTCCACTGATTACGATGTCATCGCTGAACTCACTTCCGATAAGGCCGTTTGTTGTTTCTGGAGCTCTGGCAGGCATTTTGTTCTCTATAGTCTAGTCCTGCAAGTAAATAATATTTTTATTGATATGATATGTGCATGGTATAGAAGAAGTCTTAATATTTTATTAATTGAGCTAAAATGGGTCCTAATATGTTATTCCCATCAACTTTAGAAATATTTGAACTGGATAAATAAATTAAGTATATAAAGCTATTTCAAATCAAAAGTATTTCTTTTGTATTTTTGACACATGCCATATTTTTAAATATTGTTTATAACAAAATATGGTCCGTCATTATCTGATTACATTGGATAATGTATTGTTGAATTAATGAGTATTGTTGATATTAGACTAATTTGTGTTGTACAAAGGTAGAAATATTTTTTTCTTTAAACTTAGGTTCTACTAAGTGTTTTACCTACTTGAATTTTCCAAAAATTATGTACATAATAATCATTCAAAATTAAAAACATGCAATATAATAGACACCTAGATTATTTTTATTTCTACTATAGATAATTACTAAGTCTGCTCATGATGTCCGGTCAATAATCGTGAAACATACATACGTCAAACTTGCTTAAAGTGTTGGTAGCGTTATTTGGGGAAATTTGTTTTCTTTGATGTTTTTATTTACCATCCTTTGAGCGAACTAGCACATACCGAATAATATTCGCTTGTTGTATAGTCCAAGTTTGGTGTGCACTTTGTATAGCTTTGGCAAATATTTGGCAAATGAAAACATAATTTCAAATATATCTATATGCAAATGTAAATATTCCCGAATAGTGTGGGATGGTACGTTTAATCAATCATGCTGGGATCATTAGCGTGCAGTTGGTTAAGTGGTGTTAATAATGGTGTAGGATACAATTTGACTCATGTTACTCATACTTGGCTATAATCGTAATATGTCTGGGCTTTTAATGAAGGTAGGTACTTGGGTAAATCATTTTTTTCTTTATTTCAGACAATTGACAATTATATTAATTATTAATAGCTATGGAGTTATTTCCTTAGCATATCTACCTGGATATTTTGTATCAAAGAACTTATACAGATTTTTTTAAGGTTTACATCATAATTTCAGGAGGTTGCTTCTTAGATCATTTTAGTCCAAAAAGCTTTAATATATTAAGAGTATGAAGTCACTGGTTCTTGAGATACATGGTGACGAAGCTTTTATAAAAAAAAAAAAGTATCATACAAAGAGGACACTGGGAATCATAGAATGTTGATACCATCGAATATCTTGAGAATTGGACAAGTACATTTAATAATTTCTTAAGAAAGAAAGGCATTTTTTACTTAATTGGAAAGGACAGGTTATTTTCCAGTTATTCTTTTTTTTAAGACGATATAAGCATAAATTAAAATTAAAAATGTTTCTAAAACCACAAAAAAATGTTTTTTTTTGTTTGAAATACAATTTTAAATACATCAAAAGTTTAAAAGAAATGATTCTTGTAGTATTTAAAACATTTTTTTTAATTTGGGAGTAATGATTTTCGGTCGACATATTTATAAATACATGTTACATTCAGTGAACTTTCAATTTCTATGATTCCAAGTTTCAGCTTCATAGAAACTTGAAAAAATATGAAAAGTTTTTTAAACTTCAACACCTTGTATCTTATCTGTATACCTTTGAATTTTGGTACATAGAAACCTTTTTGGGGACTTTTCGTTCTAAAATGGTCCAAGGAGCAGCCTCATCCTGAATTTGCGACACAGACTTGAAAACCATCCTGTATAACATTATCAGCTAAAATTTTTTTCTGCAGGGTATAGTGTGAGACAGTTTAAAGCTGACAATACATTCAGAATAAGGAAAACAGACATATACATTTCTTGAACTTTACACACTTGTTAAATACATAGAAAATTGTGTATGATACCTAGTTTTTTTCAAATAATTTGAAAACTAGTTTTCTTAGGAACTTCAAATTTGGTACACTTATTTTCTTATATAAGCTCAACGTAAATAAAAAATTTGGTGATGATACACATACAGGATGTTCTCTTTCTAGTGCCTGTGCGCCACTGGTTATTTCGTAATTTTTTTGTGTGTACGCCTGTGATGAGCATTTATATTTTTAAGAGTAAGCACTATTTTAGAAGATTTTTTTGCTCTTACAAAATTTTGATATCGTTTATAGATTTCAAGTAAAATTGGCATTTTTATACATTAAATATAGGCAAATATTCCGATTTGTAAAAAATAATTTATAACTGCAGCCTCAAAGCAGGTAATAATAATGAAAAAATGTCACATTAAAAAAAAATAACTATACATTTTTAGTCTTAGTATTATCAATCAATAATATGAAAATCAACATTAATATTTTAAATAAACAATATCAACTAATAATGTAAGAAAGTCAACATTAACATTTTAAATAAACCTAAATTGGTCTTTGTAATCACATTAAAATAATATTACAGTAAATGCTCAAAGTGACTTCCTTGTTCTTAAACACAAGTAATAGTTCTTCGAAAATTAAATTGAATTTTATCCAATAATTATGCATTACCTCTCATAACATTAATTTCATGTTGTATTCTTTCCCATGATTTGTTTCCTATATTTACTGAAAAGTTATAAACTGTGGTCCTCAACGCTTTTCAAAGGAAATAATTACATGGGTTTAGATCCGGGGATCGAGGTGGCCATTTTAAAGGGGAATTATTTCCTCTACCTATCCACCTGTTAGGAAAGTAACATGTTATAACTGGTCTTTTAATACTCTATTAACGAAACTTTTTGAAAGCCAATCTCCGACGCTAAACGCCTTGTATTTACTTGAGGAATTCCGGCCGTACGTTATCCAGGATTTAATGTTACAGGTAAAAAACGTCTTGTTTCGCGAAGGCGTCTTTCCGCATTAGCAAATGTTTTGTAATTTGGAATTCTTCGATTAGGAAATCTTTCAGCATATGGGTCAAAATCATGAAGGTGGAAAATTTCATTGCCCATATTATTAAAAGTTGAACGTTGTTTTACAATGGATTTTTTACGTTCAAATGTTGCATTGTCATCATTTATTAGTTTATAACCACACAGCGCACAAAATGATATATTTTCCAATTTATCACCAAATGTAATGGATAAACGTGCGAGCAAGTCATTTCGGGAACGTTCTTTAAAACTTTAAAAATAATACTAGACGTAGTCGAAAAGTAGTTTCATTCCAATAATTTAGTTAAAATTAACAAGAGTTGTTAAATATTCATGAGAAAAATCACCTAATGTATTTAAATGTAATATTTGTGGTGCATTTTTGTTGCTCATTTCACTAACACATGAATTTCATATGGGAAATTTAATTTATTGTTATGATTCCAAGTTTTAAATTACTTATTTCATTAATTTGGTATTTGGCTTTAGTGGCACATTCATTCAATGTTAAATTAATCTATAAAAAATGTAATGTATTGTCATTAACTATATATTTATTAGCGTTCCCGGAAATGATCGAGATGTTACGGAAATGACTGTGGTGTTCCCGAAATGATGGCAGTGTTAATTGTGCATTTTTATATTAAAATGATACACCTATTTACTAATCAAATTAGACTTTATTTCTTGCAAAATAACAATTAATAAGGTTTTCTAGTGTAATTATCTTTGTTTCTAAGAGATCAACTGTTGTTTTATACGTAGGAACTTTATAAATTGCCATTTAAACTTATAAAAAATATTAGACCTTACATAATAGTGTAACACTTTTTAATAGTACCTACTAACATAGTGACATAAATAAATTCTGAAAAAAAAATAAACAAATCAGTAGTATGTAACAAAAAAACTCAATTACTTTTCAAATATTTCGACAACAGTGAAAAAATATCGGCGACTTCCTTTGATTTTCAATTAGTTAGGTTCAGGAAGAATTTTTACTATTTGTTCGAAGGAAACATATGAAACGTCTTTATGATCAACCACAAACGTTTTAGCGTCAGCATCTTGGGATTTTAAGAGAGTAACCTTCACTTCGCCATCTTCCTCAACTATTGTGTCGGCCATGGCAGCATATCTGTATTTGTTTTTGTTTTCAGTTGGTACATCAATAAGCGAAAAGGTTCCAGGATGTATTAAGTTTGGATGTACATTCTCTTTGTCAAGATTATGGGATATACTGGTAGTAGCTCCAGATTTAATATTATTTTGACATTTCTGCAGACGTGCAGATAATGTCTGTAAATCTTCGTCATCAGAAGAGCTTGATCCATACAATGCCTGGCAAACATTTGTTGTGAAGGTAGTCTTTGATTTCAAAAGTTCATTTGGTACTTCTTCATTGTCTTCCAAACATTCAGTAGATGCCACCGACTTTGTCTCAAATTCATTATGATCCATTCTTAAAGATTTCAACCATACAATAATTTCACAACACAGGCAGTTGCTTTTTTCCACGTGATTTTAGTAATATTCATGAATATATCATATCAACATCCTTCGGAATTAACATTTTCATTGATTCAATGTCACAACTGGAAATTTGAAGTTGAATTTGAGAACTGGTTAACAAAATATTCAGCAGTTTTAATATCTCTGCCCATCAAAACTTGTTTTTCAGCCGTGCGTTTGACCACTCCACCCATTCCGTCCATTGGCATTTTTCCATGGCCCGGATCGCTAAAAGTCCAGGTAGCTGTCGATATTTGGATTTGATTGATCAGTGTCTTCAGCCATAAGTGAATGTTCTTTTGATTACGGATTGACTGGTAGGTCCATCAGAAAACATGTACAATGTATCAAAATACGGCCTATTGATTAATATTTTCTGTAGAACAGGCTTTACATGAGCCCAAACGGCATGACTTGATGGTCAAGGTTATCACTTACAGTGGCAAACTAGTGTGTTGTATCATCATTGTCATCTTTTATATCATAAAAATTATTTGGGTAGAATTCTGACTTGGAATAAAAAGTAGATTTACAGTAATTTCGAGAACACGTACATCATTTCGGGAATGCCAGTCATAGTCCGAGTCCGAGAAAGAATGATATTCCCGCCATTATTGTCTTTGATTTTTTTTGTCACAATGTCAAA